TGTATGCTATACGAAGTTATTACGCACCAGCGCATCTACGTCTTTGGCCCACATAAAGACGGCGTGATTGAATTTGGGAAATGGCACTCTGTAGTCTTCCACTATATTGGTAAGCGAGTCACGAAGCATCTTCAAGTCCTAGAAAAAGTATTCAAAATTTAATTTACATATGACAGTTAATACAAAAGGACATTAAACCAGCAAGTGTCGTATATCTCTTTAGTAGTAAAAAATGCAAATCAACGAAATATAGAAAGTTATTCGAGAAATTATTATAACTAAGAAGAAGTCAAGTTCAGCAATATATAATGAGCACTACAAAAGAAAGCAAGAGTGGCGTTTTATTTCAAATTGGTAAATTATTGTCTATGAAAAACTATATTTAGTTATTTATTTTTTACTAATATCCTTTATCGTTTCTTTTGATTTTTTAACATTCTCATTATATGTGGGATTATTATTATTCTTAATTAATGCATATTTATTTCTACAATTTAATTATCTAATGGCCTACTTACTTTTTCAGTAACAACCCAATCGTTACCGGCATGAATCAGCGCGATCGGTACTGTGATACGTGATAAATCGTAATCGGGTGGTATTGTCGCATTGTAGATCTGCATATTTTTTTCTCTTCCGTAATCGTATGCACGAAACTTGCCCGAGTTTATTTCCTGAAGGAAATGCGACACGAGTTTGATTGAAGTGCCGGATGGAAATTGGACCAAGATCATGGGCAATAAATTCTAGGGAGCATAAACAATGTGAAATACTATTTTGAAGTTTAATGACATGAATAATGATTGAAACGACGATTAAAACTGCATTACATTGCACTCACGGAATACTTACATAATTAAACTGTTCTTCATCGAAGCCGCAGATATAGAAAATTATGTTACTGCAGATCTGTTGTGTAAAGAAATCGATGTTGCATAACACTTTCATTAGATACTGCAGTACACAGTTCGTCGGCAAGAATTCATATATGCCTAAGAAATGCATTGCCTACAATAGAAAATCTTTTATCTTTTTTACGTCATGCGAAGTATCTGTACAGTAATTCTGCAAGTGTTTAGCGGACTCTTTCCTCATAAATACAAAGGTAAAGATAAGTGCATAGATTTAAAGCACATCGTTAACTAATGGTATATAGTTTATATAGTGAAAATTACTCTGATCTTTTAGATTATTGTCGTTGAAATGATGATCATCGAAGAATCTCTGAATAAAATTAATCGAAAATTGGATCAAGCTAATTAGCTTACCTCGAAGGAACTTGTAAAAGGAACGAGCAATTGCAATGAGCTTGTCATATTTCCTATAAAGGCTGCTGGTGCGAGGCTGATCATCATTCTGACCATTTTAGCAATTTCTGGACGTTTTATTGCCATCACATAAAATGTGGTCGTGCCCATCGAATGACCGATGTACGTATACAATGGTTTCGACGTTAGGTTCGTGATATATGAGATAATCGCGGGAAGATCATACGTGCCAATTTCTTCAAAGCTAGCAGAATTTGATAAGACAGAATATAATATAATTATGCCGTCGTAAAGTCATTATGCGCTTGAAACTGAATTAAATTGAATCTTTGCTGCAACATTATTTTTAATGCGCTGTTAATTTTATTTCACATCGGTTGCGAGTACCTGAAATCCCAGAACTTCGAATCTGACGGCGACAGAGAAATGTGCGTTCTCGAGTAAGTGTTCCCGCGGAAGTTGCCCAACCAAACGTTATATCCTTGATCGGCCAATTTGTAAGCTGTGCAGACAAAATTTCGTTTGCATATATTTTTTCTTATAAGATTCATTCATTTCTAACAGAATAGCATTTTAACATTTTTGTATATTAATATATATTTTCTGCAGGTTAAAACGTCAATGACTTATCGATAAAACTATATTTTCTGTCGAATATGTTAAATGAAAAATTTTCTGATACGCATATGATAAAGCAGTAAATTGTTGAATACAAAATTTGGTAATTTAGGACGACAGACAGACAGTTTCTTTTGCTGTTTTCTATTTTTGTAATTTGATAACTTAATATTTTTCAGATAACAGCGCAATCGAAGATGGATCTCAAGATATTCTTTGCAGATTAATTAAGAAATAGTACCTAATGCTCCTTGCTTGCCGTTTATGATCCAGGCTGCGGAGCTGCACAAAAGACCGTGTTGCACAAACACTGGTGGAGAATTTTTGGCACCTGGAATACGATGTATCGTTAAGAGATAGCCGTCCTCCGTCAATACAACATGAGCCTCTGCAAGATATCCCGCTTTTTTAATCAGTTCCAACTGGAAAATGATCGGTAAATACATGATAAGAAATAAGTTCACGATCAATCGGTGCGCAACATGGCGTGTTGCTTGCGAATTATGCTGAGACACAGTTTTGACACTTTGTACTTATGTTGCGTAACAAATTGTATTGCGCAATATGATTGATCGTGATCCATTTAGCAAATACATCGCTTGCAGAACTTTATTTCTAAAAATTGCAAAACATCTCAATGTTACTTTGCATCGGATGACATTAAGAAGCGCTAAGAAAACATCAGCAGTTCATATGAAAATATGTGTTTTAATCGCTGAAAGTTAATGATAAGTAATTGAATTAATTCAAGTAATAAAACTGTGTTTAATATTGAGTCAGTTTTTGACGTTTGAAAATCGACACTGGTTGTAAGATTTCTCATTTGTCTATTTATAGTATCAAACATTAAACGAGCATTAAGTTAATGAAGATTTTAATTTTTTCGGGAGACTGAAGATTTGCTTACCGTGTTGAGATTGTCATCGACATTGTTCTTGATATCATTCAGCGCATTTAACATGAGTTCTTGCAAGTTGTCGATTGTCATGTTTAATGTCTTTGCACTGAGGAATCCGCAGAGCGTCAAGAAATATACGATCGCCGCCGGTTGCATCATCGACAGAGGATTTAGCGAAGAACGTAAGTTTTTCAAGATATTTTAACAAAAAAACTCTGTAAAATTATTGAAATCAATAGTGCGGAATTTATAAAATGCACTTAAACTTCGTTGTCGAATTCGCTTCATATGCAACGGCTGCATTGGCACGGAGTGGCAATGAACTGCGATTCCGCCTAAAATTTGTTTTTTTTTTCGTCGAGGAAAAAAGAGTGGGGAAAAGAATAAACAAATACTCATTATATTGCTAAACTTGCTATTAATGTTATCAAATTTTATTTTTGTGATACTAAAATATTTACATATGAAAATGTATTTTAAGATACATGCAATTAATCTTGAAATAAAATATTATTGGACTATATATGTGTTTAATTACAGTGCCATAAATTTGAAATTTATTTTATTTTCGATTGCGTAATGATAGCATGTTTCATTTTTTTAATGTTTACATTTCGTGGAGTTACCTGCTTTCTACGAAATTTGAAATTTTTCAGACTGATTTTTTTTTACAAAAATATACAAATTAAAAGCGGAAATTGATAATAAAATTGTTATACAATTTGTATGCGTGTTTATCATTTTAGAAAAATTACGGATTGCAATCTTTGTAGCAACGACAATTCACTGGTTCAAAGATAAGGTTCGATCGAGCAATGACGATCTCTTTTCTCGTTGTAGGTATTTTGAAATATATTTTATATGTAATCGCTTTAGTATCACATGACTAAGAATTTAATAACATCAAAAGGAAATTTGCAGCTTTTATATCGCAACCGCATAAAAATCATTCAACATTCAATAATGCGATGCTTTGTTTCGACGCAAACTTTGTCGATTTTTCTAATATATGAAGATATTAGGTTAATATTAAGTTTTACACTTTATTTATATCACCGTTTTTATTGCTGTCTGTCGTAATGTTAGCAAACAATTACTTAAACGGGCGTGTTAGATATTTTAAATCGATCGTATTGGGGATTAACAATATTATAAGTAAAATTACTTTACATCAAAATTTATGATTTCTTGACATTATAATTCTTTACTAATTTACTTCCTTTTTCATGGTCTCTAATATTTTTTCATACACCAGCGTAGGTGCGTCTTTGGCCCACAAGTAGTCGACATGATTGAATTTGGGAAATGGCACCCTGTAGTCATCCACTATATTGGTCAGCAAGCAACGAAGTTTCTTCACGTCCTTGAAAAAGTATTGAAAATTTAATTTACATATGACAGTTAATACAGTACGACATTAAACCTACATGTGTCGTATATTTCTTTAATAAGTAGCAGAAAAATGCCAATCACCGAAATAGAGGTATTTATAAAAAGAATTATAATGAAGAAGAAGAAGTTAAGTTCAGCAATGTACAAAGAGCCCTACAAAAGAAAGCAAGAATGGCATCTTATCTCAGATTGGTAAATCATTGTCTATGAAAAAATATATTTAGTTATTTATTTTTTATTAGTATCATTTATCGTTTCTTTTAAATTTGTAACATGTTATTTTCATTATCTGTGGGATTATTACTATTCTTAATTAATGCATATTTCTTTCTATAATTTAATTATCTAATTGCCTACTTACTTTTTCATTAACAATCCAGTCGTTATTGCCATGAATCAGTGCGATCGGCACTGTGATACGCGATAAATCATAATCGGGCGGTACCGTCGCATTGTAGATCTGCATATTTTTTTGTCGACCGTAATCGTATGCTCGGAACTTGCCCGAGTTTATTGCCTGAATGTAATGCAATACGGTTTTGACTGAAGTACCGGATGGAAAGTGAGCCAAGATCATGGGCAATAAAGTCTAGGGAGCATAATCAGTATGAAATACTATCTTCGAGTTTGACATGAATAATGATTGAAACGACGATTAAAACTGCATTTTATTGCATTCACGAAATACTTACATAATTAAACTGTTCTTTATCGAAGCCGATGGCTTGGAGAATTATGTTCCTGCAGATCTGTTTTGTAAAGGGATCGACGTTGCATCCCACTCTCGCCAGATACTGCAACAGACTGTCCTTCGGCAAGAATTCATTTACGGCTAAGAAACGCATGATTGCCTGCAATGGAAAATATTTTATTATGTTTTCTCGTCATGCGAGCTAACTGTACATTAAATTTGCAAGTTTCCAGCGAACTCTTTCCGCATAAATACACAGGTGAAGGTAAGTACATAGATTTGAAGCACATCTTTAACTAACAGACATAAATTTATACAGTGCAAATTACTCTGATCTTATCTTTTAGAATAATGTCATTGAAATTTTGATTATGGAAGAATCTCTTAAAATTCATCGAAAACTGGATCAAGTTAATTAGTTTACCTCGATGGGGCTTATAAAAGTACCAAGCAATCGCAACGAGCTTGTCATATTTCCTACAAAGGCTGCAGGCGCGAGGCTGATCATCACTCTGACCATCTTAGCGACTTCCGGCCGTTTTATTGCCATCACGTAAAAAGTGGACGCGCCCATTGAATGACCGATGTACGTGTACAATGGTTTCGACGTCAGGTTCATGATATATATGAGCATCGCGGGAAGATCATATGTGCCCATTTCGTCAAAGCTATTAGAATTTGATTCGACAGAATATAATATAATTAGACTATCGTAAAGTTATTATACGCTTGAAACTGAATTTAATTAAATTTTCACTGCAACATTATTTTTAACGCGCTGTCGATTGTATTTTACTTCAGTTTTGAATACCTGAAATCCCAGAATTTCGAGTCCGACGGTGACAGAGAAATGTGCGTTCTCGAGTACGTGTTACCACGGAAGTTGCCCAACCAAACGTCATATCCTTGATCGGCCAATTTGAAAGCTGGCGTGCAGACAGAATGTCGTTTGCATATGTTTTTTGTATGTTTCATACGTATGTTTATAATAGATTTTGATGGTATTTTAGCATTTTCATATATTAATATATATTTTCTGCAGGTTAAAACGTCAATAATTTACTGATAAAACCATTGCTTTTGTCGAATAAGTTAAATAAAAAATTTTCTGATACGCATATGAGAAAGCAGTAACTTGTTGCATTCAAAATTTTGTAAGTAAAAACGAAAGAAAGACAGTTTGTCTCGCCTTTTTTTTTGTAATTAAAAATTCAATATTTTTTCGATAACAGCGCAGTCGGAGGTGGATATCAAGATACTTTTTGCAGATTAATTAAGAAATCATACGTAGTGCTTTGTTCTTGCCGATTACGACCCAGCCTGCGGAGCTACACAAAAGGCAGTGTTGCAGAAACACGAGTGGAGAATTTTTACCACCTGGAATACGATGCATCGTTAAAAAATAACCGTCCTCCGTCAATACAACATGAGCTTCTGCAGGATAACCTGCCTTTCTAATCAGCTCCAACTGGAAAAAGGATTGGTAAATATCTATTAAAGAATAATTTCGCTATTAGTTATATTGTACAACAATACGTGTTAATCGTCAATAGTGTCGATTGACAATTTGTACACTTCGCACTTATGTGGCACAACAAATTGTTACGCAACATGATCGATTGTGAATGGATTCCGTTAGTAAATACATCATTTTCAGAACTTTATTTTTATAAATTGCAAAACATCTCAATATTCTTGTGCATGATGTTAAAAATTGTCTTTGAAAATAATAAAAATTGTTTTATAATATTACATAATATAATATTTACATTAATTCCAAAAAAATTAGTAATAAATTATTGAATTAATTCTAAGAAACAAAAAATATAAATATAACTATTCTACTAAAACATATATTGAAACTGTGTTTAATATCGAGTCAATTTTGAAAAACGACACTGGGTATAAAGTCTCTTATTTTCTTACTTGCAGTATCAAACATTAAACAAAATTAAATTAAGAAAAATTTTCATTTTCTCAGGAGACAGAACATTTGCTTACCGTGTTGAGGTTGGCGTCGACATTATTTTTTATATCATTTAGCGCAGTCGACAAGTGTTCTAGCAAGTTGTCGAATGTCACATTTACTGTCGCCGCACCGAGGAAGCCGCAGAGCGACAAGAAATATGCGATCGCTGTTGGCTGCATCATCGACAAAGGATTCAGCGAAGGTCGCGAAGTCTTTCGGGGTATTTTGGTAAAAGAACTGGGTAAAATTGTTGAAATTAATAGGAAGGAATTCGCAAAAGCAATTGAATTTCGTTCGACTTTACGACTTGCAAAACGGAGTGCTAATGAATTCCGTTGAAGACTTGCTTTTAATTAGTTGCTTAGGGGGGAGAGTTGAGGAAAAAAGGAATAGAAGAGTGAGGGAAAGAATAAAACATGCTATTGATGTGATCTAGTTTTTAATTATATGGTATTAAAGCATTTACATGGAATATATTTCAAAATACATACAATTAAACTTAAAGTAAAATAGTATTTAACTATATGTGCGTTTAATTACGGTGCAAAAATTATCACATATTTTATTGTCATTTGCGCAATGATATTTCATTTTGAAAACAATTAGTTATAAACATTATGTAATAGGCTCTTATATTATACAATAATCAAATTTCAAAGAATATAAGCCACTGATAGATAGTTCTTTCCTTTTCGCACACGAATTGAAACATTTTTCACAAGAACTAAGATAAAGGTTGTCTATCAGAAGTTATTCAGTATAAATAAGTCTTATAAATGAAACTTATTTATGCTGAAATAACTTCTGATAGATGACTACCTTGATCTTAGGTCTTATGAAGAATGTTCCAATCTGCATGCGAAAAGGAAAAAACTAGATTCGTTGTTTTTCCTGATTAAAACGATACTGTAATGTTGGCATTAAAGAAACTAGTGTAATCATTTTTTGTACACTGAAAAAGGCCGAAAATTATGGCCGAAACTTTTGTATTTAACAAATAAATAAACAATTTAAACACGCCAAACTAGCTTTGGCTCTAGTGGCTTATATTTTTTGAAACTTAAATAATTAATTTTTTTTTTAATGTTTGCATTTCATGAACTTATCTCCTTTCCACGTTTCTTGTTAACTTTTTAAGAATTTCTGTGAAAATTGAAACATTTGAGATTGATTTCTTTCTTAAGAAAAATATCCAACTTAAAAGTAAAAATTGAAAATAAAATTGGTACACAATTTTTATGCGTGTGTTTATCATTTTAGAACAATCGTGGATTGCGATCTTTGTAGCAACAACAATTCACTAGTTAAATGATAAGGTTCGGTCGAGCAACGATAAACATCTCTTTTTTCATTGTATGTGTCTTGAAATATATTTCATATGTAAATGCTTTATTATTACATGTTTAAAAATTTGTTATTTTAAAAATAACAATTTAAAAATTTGTTAATTTGTTAGCTCTTCATATCACAACCGCATAAAAACCATTCAACATTCAAGGATGCGATGCTTTAGTTCGACGCAAACTTCGTCGATTTTCTATTATAGGAAGATATTAGGTTAATCTTAAGTTTTACACTCTGTTTATATCGCCGTTTTTATTGCCGCTTATTGTGATAATGGTAGAAACAATTACTTAAACGGGCGTGTTAGATATTGTGTATTGATTGTATTGAGGTTTAAAAATATTGTAAATTAAATTACTTTCCGTCAAAATTTGCAATTTTTTTACATTATAATTCTTTACTAATTTACTTTCTTTTTCATGGTCTCCAATACTTTTTCATACACCAGCGTAGGTGCGTCTTTGGCCCACAAGTAGTCGACATGATTGAATTTGGAAAATGGCACCCTGTAGTCATCGACTATATTGGTCAACAAGCCACGAAGTTTGTTCACATCCTAAAAAAGTATATTGAAAATTTAATTTACGTATGACAGTTAATACAGTACGACATTAAATTTGCATGTGTCGTATATCTCTATAATAGCAGAAATCTTTTCAATAGCAGAAAAATGCCAATCATCGAAATAAAGGAAGTTATAAAAAATTTATAATAAAGAAAAAGGAGGTTAAAGTTCAGCAAAGTATAAAGAGACCTACAAAAGAAAGTAAGAATGGTATTTTATCTCGGATTAGTAAACATTGTCTATAAAAAAATATATTCAGTTTTTTATTTTTTTGTAATATCTTTTATCGTTTCTTTTGATTTTTTGACATGTTATTCTTATTATCTGAAGGATTATTATTATTCTTCATTAATGCATATTTCTTTTTATAATTTAATTATCTAATTGCCTACTTACTTTTTCATTAACAATCCAGTCGTTATCGCCATGAATCAGTGCGATCGGCACTGTGATACGCGATAAATCGTAATCAGGCGGTACCGTCATATTGTAGATCTGCATATTTTTTTGTCGACCGTAATCGTATGCTTGGAACTTGCCCGAGTTTACTTCCTGAATGTAATGCAACACGGTTTTGATTGAAGTACCGGATGGTAAGTGAGCCAAGATCATGGGCAATAAAGTCTAGGGAGCATAAAAAGTATGAAATACTATCTTGAAGTTTAATGACATGAATAATGACTGAAATGACGATTATAAAACTGCATTACACTGCATTCACGGAATACTCACATAATTAAACTGTTCTTGATCGAAGCCGATGATCAGGAAAATTATGTCACTGCAGATCTGTTTTGTAAAGGGATCGAAGTTGCATCCCACTCTCGTCAGATACTGCAACAGACTGTTCTTTGGCAAGAGTTCATTTACGCCTAAGGAACGCAAGACTGCCTGCAATGGAAAATCTTTTATCTCTTTTCTCTTCATGAAAGCTAACTATATATTAATTTTGCAAGTTTCCAGCGGACTCTTTCTCCATAAATACAAAGATGAAGGTAAGTACATAGATTCGAAGCATATCTTTAACTAATGGACATAAATTTATACAGTGCAAATTATTCTAATTTTATCTTTCAGATTATTGTCATTGAAATTTTGATCATCGAAGAATCTTCTTTTAAACTTCATCGAAAACTGGATCAAGTTAATTAGCTTACCTCGATGGAGCTTATAAAAGGAGCGATCAGTCGCAATGGGCCTGTCATATTTCCTACAAAGGCTGCAGGCGCGAGACTGATCATCACTCTGACCATTTTAGCGATTTCTGGGCGTTTTATTGCCATCACATAAAATGTGGTCGTTCCCATCGAATGACCGATGTACGTATGCAATGGTTTCGACGTTAGATTTGTGATATAAGAGAGCATCGCGGGAAGATCATACGTGCCCATTTCGTCAAAGCTATCAGAATTTGATTCGACAAAATATAATATTAGACTGTCGTGAAGTTATTATGCGCTTGAAATTGAATTAAATTGAATATTGGCAGCAACATTATTTTCAACGCGCTGTTGATTTTATTTCATTTCGGTTGTGAGTACCTGAAATCCCAGAATTTCGAGTCCGACGGCGACAGAGTAATGTGCGCCCTCGAGTAGGTGTTACCACGGAAGTTGCCCAACCAAACGTCATATCCTTGATCGGCCAATTTGAAAGCTGGCGTGCAGACAGAATGTCGTTTGCATATGTTTTTTTTATATGTTTTATACATTTATAATTGATCTTGATGGTATGTTATCATTTTCGTATATATATTTTTGGCTTAAAACGTCAATAATTTACAATAAAACCATTATTTTTGTCGAATAAGTTAAATAAAATTATTTTTGATACGCGTATGATAAAGCAGTAAATTGTTGAATACAAAATTTGGTAAGTAAAAACGAGTGACAGACAGTTTGTTTCGCTTTTTTTTTTCTTTGTAATTTGAAAACTTAATATTTTTTCGATTACAGCGCAGTCGAAGGTGGATCTCAAGATACTCTTTGCAGATTAATTAAGAAATCGTACGTAGTGCTTTGTTCTTGCCGATTACGACCCAGCCTGCGGAGCTGCACAAAAGGCAGTGTTGCAGAAACACGAGTGGAGAATTTTTTCCACCTGGAATACGATGTATCGTTAAAAGATAGCCGTCCTCCGTCAATACAACATGAGCTTCTGCAGGATAACCTGCCTTTCTGATTAGCTCCAACTGGAAAAAAGATCGGTAAATATCTATTAAGAAATAGTTTCGCTATTAGTCATATCGCGCAACAATACGTGTTGACCATGAATGGTGCTGATTGACAATTTGTTCACTTCGTACTTATGGTGTACAACAAATTGTTACGCAACATGTTTGTTTGTGAATAAATCCCTTTAGTAAATACATTATTTTCAGAACTTTATTTCTAAAAATTGCAAAACATCTTAATGTTCTTTTGAAGGATATTAAAAAATGTTCTAGGAAACAACAGCAATTATTTTACATGAAAATATTTATTTCAATTGCAATAAAATTAATAATAAGTCATTGAATTAATTTAAAAAAAAAAAAAATAGGAATATGAATTTTATACTAAAACTAATATTAAAACTATGATTAATATTGAGTCAATTTTTGACTTTTAGCGACAATAGTTGTAAGATCTCTCAGTTTTTTACTTATAGTATCAAACATTAAACATTTAATTAATAAATATTTTAATTTTTTCAGGAGACAGAACATTTGCTTACCGTGTTGAGATTGGCGTCGACATTGTTCTTGGTATCATTTAATGCAGTCGACAAGAGTTCTTGCAAGTTCTCGAATGTCACGTTTACTGTCGCCGCACCAAGGAAACTACAGAGCGACAAGAAGTATGCGATCGCCGTCGGCTGCATCATCGACAACATTCAGCGAAGAAAAGTCTTTCTGGGTATTTTGGTAAAAGAACACTTTTGATAAAATTATTGAAATCAGTACCGAGGAATTCGCGAAATGCAATTGAATTTCGTTATCAGCTTCGCCGCATATGCAACGAAGTGCTGATAAATTGCTGTTCCGTTGAAGATTTGTTTTTATTGGTTGAGAGCAAAAGAGTAGAGGAAGGAATAAATGAAAAAATTCTCAATCTTACATTGTTACATGTGCTACTGACGTCATGAGGTTCTCAATTATGTAATACTGAAGCATTTACATATGAAATTTATTTTAAGAGACAGACAATTAACTTGAAGTAAAATGCAATTGAACTTTGTTATCGACTTATGCATATGCAAAGATGTGCCGATGAATTGCTGTTCCGTCGATGATTTGATTTTTATTAGTTGAAAGTAAAAGAATGGAGGAAAGAATAAAAAGATACTCGTTATATTATTAAGCGTGCTATTAATGTTATCAAATTTTTAATCATGTGGTATTAAAAAATTTACATATAAAATATATTTCAAGATACATACAATTGAACTTAAAATTAAATACTGTTGAACCTTATATATGTTTGATTAAAGTGTCATAAATTTCATCACATATTTTATTTCTGTTTGCACAATGATAAGCATATTTTATGGTTGCATTTCGTGGACTTATCTCCTTTTAACGTTTTTTGTTAATTTTTTCAGAATTTCTGAAATTGGAAACTTTGCACTGATTTTTTCCTAACAAAAATGTCCAAATTAAGAGTGAAAATTAACAATAAAATTGTTATACAATTGGTATGCGTGTATTTATTATTTTAGAAAATTCGCGGATTATGATTTTTGTCGCAATGACAATTCACCAGTTAAAAGATCTAGCTCGGTCGAGCAATGACACTCTTTTCTCAACGTAAAGGAACACAGCTTTTTATTTCGCGATTGTATAAAAACCACTTAACATTCAACGATTTCGACGCTTTTTTAAAAGTAAGAAGACATTAGGTTTTACATTTTCTGTTTGTATTGTTGTTTTTCTTGCAGTCTATAGTGGAAACAATCACAATAGTAGAAACAATCACTTAAAGGCTCATATTAGATATTTTAATTCGACCATATTAAGAGCTAAAAATTTGTAAGTGAAACTATTTTCCGTCAAAATTTACGATTTTCTGGCATTATAATTCGTTAATAATTTACTTCCTTTTTCATGATTTCCAGCACTTTTTTATACACTAACGTAGGTGCGTTTTTGGCATACAAGAAATCGACATGATTAAATTTGGGAAACGGCACCCTGTAGTCTTCCACTATATTGGTCAGCAAGCCACGAAGTATCTTCAAATCCTAGATAAAGTATTGAAAACTTAATTTACATATTACAGTTAATACACAGTTAATAAACGATTTTAAATCTGCATGTGTCTCTTCAATAGCAGAAAAATACCAATCAAGGAAATAAAGGAAGTTATTAAAAAAATTATAATGAGGAAGAAGAAGTTGTGTTCAACAATGATAATACAAAAAGCGCTACAGAAAGAAAGCAAGAATTTTCTTTCAGATTGGTAAATCATTGTCTATGAATAAATATATATAATTATTTGTTTTTTACTAGTATCCTTTATCGTTTCTTTTGATTTTTTAACATGTTATTCTCATTATCTGTGGGATTATTATTATTCCTAATTAATGCATATTTCTTTCTACAATTTAATTATCCAATTACACTACTAACCTTTTCATTGACAAACGAATCGCTGTCGCTATGGATCAATGCAATCGGCGTTGTGATACGCGATAAATCGTAATCAGGTGGTACAGTTGCGTTGTAGATCTGTATATTTTTTTCTCTACCGTAATCGTATGCTCGGAACTTGCCCGATTTTATTTCCTGAACGAAATGCGCCACGGCATTGAATGAAGTGCTGGACGGAAAATGAGTTAGAATCTTGGGCAATAACGTCTAGGAAGCATAAACAATATGAAATATAATCTCCAAGCTTCATGACATAAATAATGATTGAAACGACGATCAAAAGTGCATTACATTCTCAGCATTCACGGAATACTTACATAATTGATGTGTTCAGTGCTGAAGCCGGAGATCAGTAAAACTATGTTTCTGCAGATCTGTTTTTGAAAGAGATCGCCATCGCATTCCAATTTCATCAGATACTGCAATATAAATGATACAATACAGATAATAAAGTACTGTTCTGTGGCATGAATTTATTTACGCTTAAGAAACACATGATTATCTACAATTGAAAATGCAAGCTAATTGTTAAATTAATTTCCCATCAAGTTTTCAGCGGAGCCTTGCGGCATAATTACAAAGATGAAAATAAATACACAGGTTTGAAGCACATCTTAAACTAATTGACATAAATATATACAGTGCAAATTACTCTGATCTTATCTTTCAGATTCTTGTCATCGTAAGATCTCTCGTTGAAATTCATCGAAAACTGCTAATCAGCTTACCTCATCGGAGCTAAAAGGAATGAAAAGTCGCAGTGGATTTGTCGTATTGCCTAAAAAGACTACAGGCGCCAGGCTGATCATCACTTTTACCATGTTAGCGATTTCCGGGCGTTTTATTGCCATTACGTAAAAACTGGTCGTGCCCATCGAATAACCGATGTACGTAAGCAATGGTTCCGACGTCAGATTCGTGATATATGAGAGCATCGCGGGAAGATCATACGTGCCCATTTCGTCAAAGCTATCAGATTTTGAATGGACAGAATATAATATTAGACCGTCGTAAAGTCATTATGCGTTTGAAATTGAATTAAATTGAATATTGGCAGCAACATTATTTTCAACGCGCTCTTGATTTTATTTCACTTCGGTTGTGAGTACCTAAAATCCCAGAATTTCGGGTCCGACGGCGACAGAGAAATGTGCGCCCTCGAGTAGGTGTTACCACGGAAGTTGCCCAACCAAACGTCATATCCTTGATCGGCCAATTTGAAAGCTGGCGTGCAGACAGAATGTCGTTTGCATATGTTTTTTTTATATGTTTTATACATTTATAATTGATCTTGATGGTATGTTATCATTTTCGTATATATATTTTCGGCTTAAAACGTCAATAATTTACAATAAAACCATTATTTTTGTCGAATAAGTTAAATAAAATTATTTTTGATACGCGTATGATAAAGCAGTAAATTGTTGAATACAAAATTTGGTAAGTAAAAACGAGTGACAGACAGTTTGTCTCGCTTTTTTTTTCTTTGTAATTTGAAAACTTAATATTTTTTCGATTACAGCGCAGTCGAAGGTGGATTTCAAGATACTCTTTGCAGATTAATTAAGAAATCGTACGTAGTGCTTTGTTCTTGCCGATTACGACCCAGTCTGCGGAGCTGCACAAAAGGCCGTGTTGCAGAAACACGAGTGGAGAATTTTTTCCACCTGGAATACGATGTATCGTTAAAAAATACCCGTCCTCCGTCAGTACAACATGAGCCTCTGCAGGATAACCCGCGTTTCTTATCATCTCCATCTGTAAAAAGATAAATGCATCATTTGCAAAACTTTATTTTTAAAAATTGCAAAACATCTCAATGTTTTTGTATAATATTAAAAAATGTCTAAAAAATACATCAGCGATTATTTTTGATATGAAAAAATTCATATTAATTGCTTAAAAGTAATAATAAATAATTGAATTAATTAAAAAAAAACAAAAAATAAAAATAAAGATTATACTAAAACAAATATTAAAATATTAAAACTGTGGTTAATATCGAGTCGATTTTTTATTTTTAAAAACGACAATGTGTGTGAAATCTCTTCTTTCTCTACTTGTTAGTATCAAGCATTTAGGCGGTTTTCTTGCTTTCAGTTCCGTTTCCGACGCGTTTTTTAGGATTTTTTTTTTTAGAAAAAGTATAAAAGTTATAAATTTGCAACTTGGTACATTTATTCTTCTATTTCTGCTTTCATATTTTTTACAAATTTTTGCAAACATTAAAAAAAACTTTTTTAAAGTTATGGGCGTCTTAAAAAAACGTCGGCTCACTATTGCCATGATTTAAGTCACAGAAATTATCTATAAAAAAATACAAAAAAATTTTTAATCTATACATACATCTTGTAATTCTTGGCTGAGGACTTTCCTCGTTTATCAAAAAGTGCGTAATTGCAGATGTATCTTGTCTGCTGGTAGATTTAACAATTCATACCTCATCGGACATCCGGTGTTCCGAGTGTTTTTTGCGCTCTTGATTTCTTACGTCCACAAAATTCTTGGCTTTTCTATCGATTTTGACTCCAATAACTTGTAAAATTTCTAATATTAATTGGAAATCTTTATTAATATGCTGTTAATATGCAGAAAAAGTGCTACTGCCCATACAGCACACAAAAATTGCATACACATTGCATCAATCTTTCATCGCAATGTTGCAATATTGCAAATTTACTGCAAAATGTTGTTGCATCATTGCTGTGGGATTGCAGCAACGTTAAAATGTCCGCCTTTAGGAAGATTGTAATCTTATTATATTGTAACATTGCGATGAAAAATTGATGCGATGTGTATGCAATCTTTGTATGCTGTATGGGCAGTAGCACTTTTCCTTTTTCTGGCTCTTTTATTCTTTTTTCCTCCTAACTCACTCCGACTCTCAACTAATAAAAGTCTCCGATGACATTTATCGGCACTCAGTGGCATCTGCGGCGAAGTCAATAAACAAAGTTCAATTACAATTCGCGAATTTTTCGGTATTGATTTCAATAATTTTACAGAGTTCTTTTACCAAAATAACCCAAAAGACTTCGCGTCCTTTGCTGAATCCTTTGTTGATGATGCAGCTGATAGCGATCACGTACTTTTGGTTGTAACGAAATATTATAGTAATATTGCAATGTAATGAATTTGCAATAATGCATTGTTATTGCAATCTTAGAATAATGTTGTATATATTTTTATTTATTCGGACATTTATCTGTCCGATTTCTGTTCGAACAATTTGTCCGAACAATCAATTCAATATCTAAATTCTCTGTGTTAGGGTCGTATCAGAAAAATTTAACTGATAAAAATAGTTACTAAAGTCTTTAATCTTAAGATTAAATTTTAAATTAGTAATTACTAGCCACTCTTTGGAAGTTTTATATCATCATGACTAAAACTTAAATACGAGATAGATTTGCAACGCGCGTCGCATAGCAGTAAACGAACTACCCAGAGAGAAATACAGGTCGAAGAAACGTCTAATAGATATCTAATAGACGTCTATAGATGTCTATTAGACGATGTCTATTAGACGTTTCTTCGACCTGTATTTCTCCCTGGGTAGTTCGTTCGTTTACTGCTATGCGACGCGCGTTGCAAAATCTATCTCGTATTTAAGTTTTAGTCATAATGATATAAAACTTCCAAAGAATGGCTAATAATTACTAATTTAAAATTTAATCTTAAGATTAAAGACTTTAGTAACTATTTTTATCAGTTAACACAGAGAATTTAGATATTGAACTGATTGTTCAAAAATCGGACAGATAAATGTCCGAATAAATAAAAATTCGCCACTTTATGTAGTAAATCATACTTCATACCGATAGTATTGATTTTCTTTCATGAATGAGAAACGTCATTTGTCAATGGCACGACTGCTTTGACAGTTCGACGCGCATCGTGTTTTAATACAATTTAGAAATTATCATTGTTAGTAAATTCGTCAGTATTGCGAACAATGTAAATAAAGTAAATAAAGTGAATAAGAGCTGAGTGAAGTAAATAAAACGTATTGAATAAAGTGTTGTGCAAGGGTCCATTCGAGATGCGATGTCCCTGAGCGCGAAATTCTGACAAGTTGATTGGTAAACTTTAAGCCTTTTCCATTCAACTATTATAGTAGCCTCGACATTTTAGTATTAAGATTTTCGTCTCCAAATGACCTCAGTAGTGGGATTCTGTGACCTGAACGATGTCGTTATGGTATCGTTGCGCAAGTTTTTTGTATCATGTAATAGCTGCGCAACGATACCATAACGACATCGTTAACATTACAGAATCCCGCTACAGAAATCTGCCATTAACGGGTAATACAGTAAGTCGGGGACACCCTGTATATATATATATATATATTATAATATAATATAATATAATATAATATAATATAATATAATATAATATAATATAATATAATATAATATAATATAGAAATATATTTTATTATATAATTGATATGTGTGTGTATATGTGTTTATCATTTTAGAAGAACCCAGGAGAACCGTGTATTCCAATCTTTGCCAATTTGATTTTGAAAACATAAACACATTTTGTGAAAAAGAAATATATACCACACTATGGGCTTGTTCGTTTTAGCTGCACTGGGGCAGCTCTGGGTCTGCTCTAAACAAGATAATACAGGACAAACTATTTATCTGTCCTGTATTATCCTGTGTAGAGCAGACCCAGAGCAGCCCCAGTGTAGCTAAAACGAACAAGCCCTATATTGATATTGGGTGTAAATAACCTTCGTAGATTTACGCAGCAGTGCGCAACAGTGAGACTCGTGTTTTTCGCACATGCAAAGCGGTTGGTGAAGTACAAACGGTCAAAACTCGAACAATTGCTGTTACATCGTGTCGATGATATCACGTTTAACTGAGGTACTTTGAAATTTATTCTAGAGTCAATTTTGTTCTATCATTGATGAATTTTTAGTACTTATTAATATATAGTTAGATTTGAATGCCGGTTAACCTCAAATTATTCGTTCATATATAAACGTGAAGAAAATCTAACTTTTAATTGTTGTTTTAATTTTTTTTCTTGCTTTGAGGTATATGTTTATGGGTCTTTTGGTATTGCAATGGAAAAGGAAAATGTAATTTGCGTCAAAAGTGTCGATAATCTAAGAACTATTTTTTGTTGGTTATAATAGCAAGATGAACGAAACTTTGCTGCCTCCTTCACCGAACTGGTATATAAACAGTATTTTTGCTTGCTCGAGACGCAGAACTCTGGCATGGGGTGCCAAGAATTTTATCGTTATTGCCAAGCAGAAAGAGGATAATGATACTCTGCAGTATTCTATCATTAAAGATCCTACTGCTGTTTACGACAAAATCACCGCAGTGGCTTTCTGTCCCCAACCTCATAATTCAGATGATGCAACTGATCCAGAGTTATTACTTTCTGCGAATGACGATGATAAAATTAGGATTTGGAATGTGGACACATTAGAATTAATCATGGAATTCTCATTTAAGAATGTAAGTAACAAGGTGTGATACAAAAGAAATTAAACGTAAAAAAGAATATATTTTTATTAAAGATAAGCATCTATCTTTTTAATTATTTCTACTGTCATCATAATTCTTTACGTTTGTTAACACAGGGGAGCAAGTCAATAGTAGGAGTTGACTGGTCAACCAACAATGTGGCATATGCAGTAACTTCCCAGGGCTTTTTAATGTGTTGTAACATACAATATGAATCATCCAAGATAGTGCCTCTGGGAAAACTAACGGCTACATGTTTGGCATGTTGTCCTCATGAAGAAAATCTTGTAGCGATAGGTGCCAAAAGTGGATTAATTTATGTTGTTAACAAGGAAACAATATTGTATAGATTGAGAGGACACAATGAGGAAGTAGTTAGTTTATCCTGGTGTCCTTCTGCCATGAATGTAATAAGTGCAAATGACAAGAGGGATCTACTTTTAGCTTCCGGTGGAAAAGACAAGTGAGAAAACTTTTATTAATATTCACACACTCTATGTATTAATGTATCGAACTAATTACTTGATTTGCGAGCATTGTTTTAATCAAAAATTAAAGAATAGATATTTTCAGACCATGCTGCTATTATATTTATGCTTTTTTTGCGTATAGATCCGTGTTTATTTGGAGAGCTGGTAGAGACGGCAGGTACGAGATGGTGATACATTTACCAAACGCGCCAAACACAAATTCCTTTCAGCAACATAAAAGCAAGCTCGGTGTTAAGGGCGGAGTTTGGACTGCAGTGTGTTGGGCAGAGCCCAAGACACTTCTGACTAGCTCAGTCTGGGGGGAACTCCTTTCTTGGGACCTCTCGACGAACGTGAACACAACTGTTAACTCGAACAAAATCAAGCCTTTGCACACGTTGATCCATGCATATCACAGTAGGGGATTGTTTTGCATAGCCACCGAACCTAGAAACGATATGTTGTCTGATAATTGGAGAGCAACTTCTGAGTAAGTATTATTCGCAAAGTAAACTTCGCAAATTACAGTGAAACAATTATTGAAATTTATCGCGTAACACTTTAGACTCACGGTCTGGACTTTGGCGCAAGATCGCTGGATTATATGTTGCAAGCAGAACAGCGATCCTGAGAAACCGCCGATTCTAAAGTACAAGATTCCCACACAAGCGGGATTTGTCTATTGCATGGCATCCTGTCCCATCGAAACTTCGCGCATTGCGTTCGGCGTGGGAGACGAAATGCTGCGTTTGTGGAACTTGTCTGAATCTCATACAACAACTTTCGACGTTATCGCACATTGGCAGAAAATAAAGGGCAAAATAAGGACGGTAAGAAATTGTGGAAAATTTAAGAGATTTAAATTTATGAAAATTTTAGAAATTTAATAAAATTAAATTTTGATTAGATTTGAGAGTTGTTTCCTAGAAATATGTTGTTGCGTTAAATAATATTGAAAATAAATGTTACGTCAGATATCGTGGTTCCCTGATGACGAATCCACAGTGGCGTTCGGCACTTCAGAGGGTCGTGTTGGCATATTTGAAGCAATCGGTACTTTGAGCAAGCCACCCATATTATTCAGGCAGTATCATAGAAACATCGTTTACAAGATCGAATGGGTTCAACTCGAGTCAGAATATTATTTGTTTTCCTGTTCGGAACGGGAACTGGTAGCGTTTAAGAAATCCGAGCCGGACGCTGGTAAGAAAATATTATAACACTCGTTGTTCTCTCGCAGTTTCGTTATTGCAACTTTTGTTACAGAACCTATGTCTATAATAAAGAATGGGTGCACCGAGTTTTCTTGGAAATCCAATGTGTGCTTAGCGATCGCACTGGAAAATGGGTAAGCTTTATTTAATATTTTAATAATTTATTTAATTAAAACATGGTTAAAGAAGCGCCATTTTTGTTCCTTTCAGATCGATAGTGTTCTACAATCAGAAACTGAAGAAACGCGGCAGCACGATACATATCGTAAGAAATACAGTGAATTGCTTAGTGTGGCACCCCGATAGTACAACGACGGATAAATGGATGTCGCCTAATGCAAACTATTTGGCCGTTGCCTCCGATTCGGAAAACATAGTAATTTATGATCTGTCAGAGCTGATACAAATTTTGAAGGCAACGGACACCGAGGACACTGCGCAGAGCGATCATGACAGTGAAGAAGATCGCAAGACGTTTAAGTTGGTAGCGTCGCTAAAAGGACATTCCGATAGAGTGGTTTGTTTAGCTTGGTGTCCGCATGTCAGCGGGCTTTTAGTGTCCGGCAGCTACGACGGTACCGCGCAAGTAAGATATTATTTTTTATGGTTTCACACTTTATGCAACTAATTTGCGTGAAAATAATATTTGTCTTATTTAAGCTCTAAGTTTATTTTACGATATTTTATAATAATTTAAATATCCGCGAAACGATTGTTATATTACTTTCTCTGAATATTATCTTCTAGGTGTGGAATGTTGAAAAGCAGGAATTGTTAAGCACGTTCTCTGGTCACGATGGAACCGTTCTGTCCTGCATGTGGAGTCCCCTCAAACCTCAATTTATAATAACCGGCTCCTCGGACTTCACGATACGCATATGGGATTACGGCGCGACAGCACAGTCGCCACGATCTGCTGTGAAGAAGAAGTACAAGCCATTAAAGAAAATTCAAAGTAAAACGGACGATTCGAACGTGCAGAATGGTTTGAACAGTCTGATGAGTTCCATTTCTCTTACCGAACGCACAAGTAAATAGACAGTATTTCAGGTATAATTGACACCAATAAATAATTGCATTGATAATAATCGAGACTTTTGATTGCAGAGTCTGAGGTGTCGCTATATAAGAAAAAAGAGAAAAGATGTTATTTCAATAGATACAATAAAGCAGTAACTAAATCTAAGCTTCTGGATTTCGTCAAGACCGACATAAGAAAGAATGAAAATCAAGAAAATTGCACTCTCGCGGACTTATCGCTGTTTTGTGAAAAGAAAGAAGATTTCATGACACTCATCGCTGCAGAGCGTAAGTTTACTTTATATGTATATATAATATATATTATAATTTTCATTTTTATTTATTCGCGCAGAGTCAGCGCAAGAAGATTTAGACGCCATTACTGAAATGGCTGTGTGGTGTAACGGAAACGAATCTGGATACATGTCTCTGGAAGACAATCTGCGACGTGCAGCCAAGAATCAGAAACTGAATGACTTTTTGGTGTCACTCGCGCCGAACGTTTCCACGAGGTGCGTACAAAGATATTTTTTATTTCAAATGTGCGAGAACACGAAATTGATTGTACGATTTTACAGAATGTGGAGGGAAATGTGCGAAGCGTACGCGCACCAGTTAATAACGCAAAAGAATGTGGAGAAGGCGGTGTCATATTTGCTTTGCATACACAAAATTTACGAAGCTATCGAGGTATTTCTGAATGTCAAGATGTTCAAGGAATCTTACGCGCTCGCGAGATGTAGATTGGATGCTGAGGATCTGATTATGAAAAAAATATTATTGAGTTGGGCCGAATGGACTATTGGAGTCGGTCAGCTAGAACAGGCAGCTCACTGGTGAGAATTGATTAGTCACTTGATTATCAACAGTTATTCTAGAATTGCATTCGTAGTATCCTAATAAAATATGTTCACAATTCGGTGTCATACAAACTACTTTATAAATTAAAAGTAATTGTTAGTTATGGAATTTCCGTCGAATAAACATTTGAAACGTTATACATACACTAGTTACATAAAACTGGGACAGTTGGACAAGGCGACGGAGGTCCTCGCTCGTCGTAAAGATGTGTGCTGCTTGGAACTGGCTTCTGAATTAGCGTTTCTAAACGGCGATGAAGGATATGGCGTATCATTAATTACGGAAGCAGTGAAACGTGCTCTCGTCAAATCAGACTGGTCGAAAGCGCGCGCCCTCATCACGGACGTTCGACAGCTTCAGGTACATGTAATAACGCGCTATGTGTATACAGGTATGTGCCACAAATGGAACAGTTAATTAATACTAACATCTTCTTTGTAGTATCTAAACGTGTACGTAGATGTTCACGAGGCGATTATGCACTCGTATGGGAAACGGTCCGCGTTGGATTTATTGCAGACATGGCTCCAAGGACAGGAAAACGATAGGGTGTTGCAAAGTCTTGAAAGAGAATACAATGCCTCTTATTACGAAGCCTTGTGCAAGGACGCAATTATTAATATGACTTCGAAAAAAGAGACAATCAATATAGTGGTAAGATATAAAACGGAAATAGACAATATGTTCTTGTCAGATACGATACTCATTGCTCATTACCCGGTTTCAGCACTTCAGCACCAGTTATGAACTAGCTAAAGCGGTTGCGTGCAACTCAAAAGAGACCCGATTGAAACATATAACAATGGCATTAAGCATCGTGTTTGAGGACGAAAAGATATTGGCGGAAAAAGGAGCGAAACACGGACTAAGGGCAGACGAAAGATTCTTCACTTATATTCTCACAATATTGGACAAGAAACCAACGGAAGAGTCAGATGACAACATTTACGCAAAGAGTGATTATTTCGTGTCGCAAAGTATACGTGCGTATTTATGCGTTGGCATTCTGGACTGGATGCTGGATTATTCGGATCAACTATCAGTTAAGGAAGAGACACAGTTAACGCAGCTGGTATTGAATTTGCTGACCGATGCCATAAGTGACATAACTGTGTTTTATGAGAATAAGTTTAATGAAACCGATCAATTGGTTCAAAAACTTACGGATTTCACGTGTGAGTTTTTTTTTCAAATTAGAACTTACTAAATTTAATTTTTATAGTTACATAAAGCAATGCTTCAATTTAATAATACTTCTTTATTATCTTATATATATAATTTTCTTTACATATATATTTTACAGGTTCACCGAATTACAATGAAGAAGAATATAATGTGCAGATCGGAGAAATAGAAAAATTAAAAACTATTGAAAGAAGTTTTAAGAAGGAACGGGTTTGCATGCCGAATCCTAGTATTGTTTTCTCCAAGGCTTGCTCAGTTATCGACCTACTACGTAATGAAATGAACCAATTTCAACTTTTAGATTTTTTACATGAGTTGGTCGAAACAGAAAAGATAAAGCCATTGGAATTAGAAAACAATTTATTAGTAAAATTAAAGTATCTGTCTAATGTTATAAAAGAAGGTACATTAGAAGAATAAGTTTTAAGAACTATTAAGAAAAAATAACAGCGCGATTACTAATAATTTTATAAAAGAAAAATAGATTTAGTTATTTTTATATAATTTTTTTGAATTTTTTTGATGTAAATCTTATAAAATACGTTATAAAAATACATTTTTTTCCTATCAAGTATGAAGTTTTATCTCCTTAGAAAATTTTAATCCATATCACTGATGTGTCATCAGCTGATAAAGTTAAAATATATTAAAAGAAGTTAAATCTTTTAAATTGTTACATTACATAACAATATTCCAAATGCACAAAGAAAGATTCTCTTTAGAAAAAAAAAGAAAATCAAATCTCTAATCTAGTACTTCAGCTTGCATTTACTCGCCAGAAACATAGTTCTCTATCACTTCCAGCACAGATGTAAGGCAGTTTATAATGCCACGTCATGCCGCCGACTAACTGAACCTTTCCGCACAATATCACTTGTTTGGATTTTAAACTGAACACTTTCAACAAATTATCCGGCCAGCCAATGCTCGCGACTAGATTTTCGTTCGCCTGCGAGAACTTTACCATTAAACCACCTTCCAAGTGAAGCGTGCGCTCATCAAGAGGACGGCTAAAATTAAAAAACAAAGAAAATACATTCGATGAACAGTTCATAAGAAAGATTCAAAGTTAAATTTCAGATTACCTAGGTCTGGAAACGTCCCAGAGCAGCAATTCTCCCGCAGCCATCGATACAACTTTTAAAGGATTGGGCCCCCAGTCTGCGGTAGTGAGAGGAACAGTGCCGGAATCTAGGGACATGATAGCCTGCTGACTTCTGACATTGTACATGCGTATTAAACCGTTCTTTTCTGCTACTAAAAGCTTCCCAGATTCTTCGCAATGCCAGCAAACGCTCGTGCCGGGCGATGTCAGGTAAAACGTGGACACACACTTCTGGTCCTCCTTAATTGCCCATAATTTACAAGTGTGATCATCGGAAACCGATGCTAACAATTCACCTTCTGGTTCATAAGAAATTGCGTTCGTGTAATCCTTGTGTCCCTCTAAAATCTTCAAAATATTTATCATTGAGCTGGATATACAAAAACTATATTTATGTAATATTGTAGATATTCTCACCTCGTACATATTAATGTCATTTAAGTTGCTATTGTACAATCTGATCTTGAAATCCGCACCGGCAACACAGAATGTGAGGATCTTGGGGACAACACTCAGGGAGGTCTCTGGACTCCAAGCAACTGCGTGAGGTCTAGTATCATGGTGAAAAGTCCTGATAGGATTGTATTCCATGCCCTCCACACGGTCATCTTCATCCTGTTATTTGACAGTGACATTTAACTTCATAAAATGTAACTACAATTGTACATATTTCATTTTTACAAATTATATTTCTGTTTACATTCCGTTCAGAATATGCTGTACACAAGTTGTCGTGTTCAATTATAATTTAAAAATGCTGGTACGGACCTGAAATCTAATAGTACCGATGACAATTTCCTTTGCGAGAGCGATGCAGACTAAATGCTGCGACCATTCGTACGGCGACAGTTCCACGCAATAAATCCGCTCGAAGAAATTCCGTTTGAAAGTAGGCGGCGTGGTGACTGCCTCGTCCATTATCGCTTCTTCTCTTTTCCTCCGTCAATACGTACGTGGGTGCGCGCGTAAAAACGGAACCGGCATAACCTATGAAACGCGCTATATGACACAAGTCAGTTTCGATCGATCGTTTAGCTGGAATCAATTGCACGATTTAAATAAGCGCGAAGGTGATTTGTCGTAAATAAGTTGAAATACAATTCGCCGTTCTACTCACCGCAGTTGCGAGCGGAAAGGGAGCATGTGTACAAAACGTTCGGAAGGATCGGGTCAGGTTAGATCGTCGGCGGCGCCGATGCCGTCGAGAGGGCGCAACCACAACGCGATCGCATACGCGATCGTCTGGTCAGCGTGCTGTATCTCACTAAAGTGTGGAGCTTGCTGTGACGAGCGTATGCACGCGATCGTCGCACTACCGCGTGCCGACTAGATTTCCTCGTGGCGAATCAGGTATGAATTGACGCGCGACGCAGTCACCGCAGAGCCTCACGCCGTCTACGCGGCCGACGACAAGCTCCGTCTCGAAATCGCGATCTCGCAGGCGAGGTGAGTACGTGCAAATTCTATCAAGGCAAAGTCGGCGCGTACACCGCAACAAGCTGTTCCGTCCTCGCATGACCGCCGCGTGTTAACCGAAAGTCCGCACGTAAATATTTTCCCCGTAAAGATGGCATCGTGCGGTACCACGCGACTTTTTTTTTTACCGCTCGCTCGTCCCCTCGCGGTTACACGAAGCTTATCCCGCGTGAGAACGGAATATTTATGCCGGCTCTGTAGGAGTTAACACTATGTTACGGTGTCTTGCATCATCTTTGCAATATTGCATATATTAATGTATACAGTCGATTCTAATGCAGTTGTAAAAAGGAATTTATTTTGCTGTAGCTTTGAATAAAAAAACTAATGCGAATATGTTTGAATTGTTACATAAATATTTTTCAATGATACCATGTGTTCCAATTTCTAATCATCTGAGAAAAAAATTCTTAAGCAGGGGATATCTTGTTAAGTGTATACATATGTAGTTAATCAACATAAAAATAGAATGACAAATATTTCGTTCTATTTTTTTTATTTTTTTTTCTGTTTCCATTTATTTTTGTTGAAAGTAAGATTAAGATAAAATAGCTGTTAAAATATTCTGCATGCAATAGTATTATTTATTACATTTTAAATTTGTTTAATGAACATATTAGAATACTCTGTATGTGGCAAGTATCATTTATGAGGGAAAATCAAAAAGCAAAGGGATACTTTTAATTAATATTGGAATTAAGAAGTTTCTTTATTCGATTTTGTAGCATTATGTCTTAAAACTGTTAAATTAACATTCTATCTTGCATTTCAGTACATCAGGCAGAAATGGAGTTTGGAGCGGGCGATATTGCTCAGATATCAGCTGAACTGGCCAGAGTGGTCGAGGTGATGATGTCACCTAACGTACCTCAGCAGCAGCGTCTGGAAGTGTACAATGCCTGTGAAAGATTTAAAGAGTCCTCCCCATTGTGCGCGCAATGCGGCTTGTATCTGGCTCAGAAGTCACCAAACAGGAGCTCAGTAGTGCGCCATTTTGGTCTACAATTAATGGAACATTGTGTGAAATACCGGTGGACACAGATCTCGCAAACAGAGAAGATCTTCATCAAGGAGAATGCGATGAAGCTGCTTCAGGAGGGCACCGAGCCGTTGCTGCAGGAAGAAGCGCACATAAAGGACGCATTGTCGCGCGTGGTGGTTGAGATGATAAAGCGGGAGTGGCCTCAGCAATGGCCGACGCTGCTGGTCGAGCTTAGTCAAGTCTGCACGCGAGGCGAGAGCCAGACCGAATTGGTGCTGCTGGTATTCCTTAGACTGGTGGAGGACGTGGCGCTCCTGCAGACGCTTGAGTCTAATCAGAGGAGAAAGGACATCTACCAGGCGTTGACTACGAACATGGCAGAAATCTTTAGCTTTTTTTTGAGACTGATGGAGCAACACTTTTCGGAGTTTCAGAAGAAAAGTGCCTTAGGACATACGTCCGAAGCCGCGGCACACAGCAAAGTCGTCCAGGTAAGTTTTCATACTAAAAACATAGAAGAAAAAAAAAGAACTCGATACCTGAGCGAATGAAAATCTACATTGCGTCGCTGTTATTAACAGGTAGTGCTGTCCACGCTAACCGGGTTCGTCGAGTGGGTCTCTATAAACCACGTGATGGCCGAGGATGGGAGATTACTGCAGATACTGTGTCTCCTGCTCGGTGATCCCATATTCCAGTGTTCCGCCGCCGAATGCCTGCTGCAGATCGTGAATCGCAAGGGCAAAGCCGAAGATCGAAAGCAGCTGATGATTCTGTTCTCGGATGAGGCTCTGAGGTTTATTTACACGGCGGCCACCGCTCCGCCGCCTCTCGCCGGACCGACGGATTTCCACGAGAATCATTATCTGTTCCTGAAGAAACTCACACAAGTAATTAAACGCGCTGAATCGATCCTGAATAAATCGCGGCAAATTTTAATATTCCCGGAGAAATGATTGTTATTCGTGCAATTGCTATTTCAGGTGTTGACGGGCATGGCGACGCAGCTGTGCATTTTGTGGGGGAAGGACGACGGCTCCAGCATACGACCGACGCACTTCAATCTTTTCCTAGACACTGTCCTCACGTTCACCATGTACCCGAGTCTCACGCTCACGCATTTAGCGAACGCAATCTGGGTGATGCTGTTCAAGCACGAGCAAATCAAAACGGACTCGCTTTTGCTGACGTACGTGCCCAAGTACGTGGAGCACACAGCGCCGAAATTAATCCGCGTCGCGTATCCGCACAGCAGGCAGAGCAACGGCATGACTACGTATTGCCTCGTCGATTACGATTCGGAAGAGGAGTTCAATGTGTTTCTGCATCGCTTCAGAATGGACTTACTGGAAGGATTCAGAAATGCAACCATGGTGGCGCCTTTAGTGACATTCACGTACGTGCAACAGTGGCTGACGGCGAAAATCAACAAAGGCATGGCCGATCTACAGTACAAGAGCGATCAGAACGATCGGGAATACCTGGAATGGGAAGCTCTTGCGCAAGCGTTGGACTCCGTCGTGTCCAGAATTCTGTTAATCAACGAGCGGCCGAGCGTGCAGACCGGCCTGCAGTTACTGGAACTCTGTCTGGGCTACTCGCCGCAGGATCCCTGGCTGCTGTCCGCGCTGCTGTCCTGCATAAGCGCGCTCTTCGTCTTTCTGTCGATGTCGACCGGCGCGATGACCATGCCGGGTGTCGCCATTCTGCCGCGCGTTCTCGACAAGATCTTCGCCGCGCTGGTGTTCGAGGCGCCCGGCGAGAACGAGCGCAATCGCTCGCGCGCGACCAAGAACGTGCGGCGGCACGCGGCTAGTCTCATGGTGAAGATCAGTCTCAAGTATCCGCTGCTGCTGCTGCCAGTTTTCGAGCAAATACACACGATGGTGCGGAGTCTGACGCGAGAGCCGAGTCCGCTGTCACGAATCGAGAGCGTCGTGCTGTACGAGGCGCTGCTTCTCATCTCCAATCATTTCTGCGATTACGAGAGGCAGACGCGATTCGTCGCGGAAGTGATCGGCAACGCGTCCAGCAAGTTTGTCACGCTGGGCGCGGAGTGGTTCAAAGGACCGTTGGAACTCATGCAATTTGTGGGGCTGGACAGACCGCCGGTTGAGAATATACTGGAGGACCCGATGCGGTGCAATCGCAGAGATCTCATGATGTGCATTTGCACCGTGCTGAGTGTGGTGAAACGGTGCTCGATCCCGGAGGATCCCGATCGCGCTGCGCGTGGCGGTTTCGTGGCCGCGCTCAGTGAAAGCGGCAATCCTGTTTATCGAAATCCCGCCACGCCCCACGTCGTCCCGATCCTGCCGACGCTCTTCGCGCTTCTGCGGACGATGAACGCTCTCTTCAGCCCTGCTGCTCTCGCTGCCTTGTCGGAGGTGACATAATTGACAAAATGCTATTAATATTACATATAATATTATGTACAATAATTTGAAATTTTGCCTGGAAATGTGTTTAAAACCTTAGACACTCTATAATTTGCGACAGAATTCGAGATAGAAATCTATTTATAAGTTTATGTGCCATAATACAGGAAGCATTTGAAAAATCGGAATATATTTTGTACAAAAGTTTTCTATTCACAAAATTTTAAATATATTTTGAATTCTATTCAATAATTTTTTGTGGAACAAGTTATTGAATATTATTTTTATTCCAGGGTTACAAGAATGCTCACGGCCTTCTAGAATCGGAGAAGGCAAACCTGTTGGGCGTGAATCTTACCAGCGACAACACCACCGAAACAGATCAAGCCTCGAGCACTTGTCTGGTTCGAATGCAATCATTCCTCAGCACGATTCACGATCATTGCTACCATATGTTGGGTAGCGGCTGCCATATGATCGGTCGTGATTTCTACCAGTTGCCCGGCCTCGCGCCCGCGTTGTTGAACTCAGTTTTCTCGAATATGGAGGTAATGTAACAATGTTTCGATTGAAATTCACATCGTACATTCTCTCGGACCTCAAATCAAGAGATGCGTCTTCGTGCTTTTCCAGACGATTCCGGATTACAGACTGCGCCCAATCATTCGTGTGTTCATGAAGTCGTTTATATACTCCTGCCCGCCGGCTTTTTACGAGAGCGTACTAGTACCTGTATTGGCGCACGTGTCCACACACAGTGAGTGACACAGATTAATTGTCTCTATTTTCGCATTTTTCGTCAAACAAGCTCGAACGTCCTTGTATCTCGCGCGTTTTCTTTCCAGTGTGTCACAGATTAAGCTCAAAGTGGCAATACATCGCGCGTCTCTACGAATCTGGCAGTCTGGACGAGGAAAACACCGACACGCAGGAAGTTATCGACGACATGCTCAATAGAAATCTAACCAGAGATTTCGTAGATGTGCTGAAAGTGGCTTTGGTCGGCGGCGCCGCCAGCGACGCCGCACCGCCGGACAGCATGGAGGACAGCGGAGGAATGGCGGTGGATCCACCTCTTTCGCGAGGGAACAGCATCGTCGCCGAGGTCGTCAGCGAACTGGGGGCCTTCGTCCTGCGCCACCCGTCCACATGTCACAGCGTCGTCTTATGCGTACTAGGGTAATTAAATATTTGGAGAAATAATTGTAAAATTATGAAAAATATACATCAATTTAAATTAAATTAATTTATATTCAAGTTCTGTTAAATTAAAAATTAGTTATCTCCGGCGTATCTTGTCGACAATGATTCATCCGTCGCATTTTAGGGCGCTTGCGTGGAACGACTCGAACGCGAGTCTCAAGGCTACGATGTTGACCGGGCCCGTGGTCCGGGCGCTGGCAGCCGACGGCAGTCTTACTCCCGCCATGGCGGCGCACATCATGGTTGCCGTTCTCCAAGGTCTGCAACTGCACGGTCAGCACGAGGCGAACCAGGGCTCGCTCATCACCCTCGGCGCGCAGGTTTACGAGTGCCTCAGACCCAAGTTTCCTAATATCATCGAGGTGATGCAGCATATCCCCGGAGTCAATCCCGTTGACTTGCAGCGCTTCGACGAGAAGATGGCAGTGGTTAGCACGAAGGGCAACAAGGTTGAAAAGGGAAAGAAGGACCTCTTTAAGAAAATTACGAATCAGGTAGGCAGCCGCGACGTATCCAGACGACGTTCGCATAAATTAAACTTCAATTGAACTTGATTTTTGTGATTAATACTAGAAAAATAAAGCTGTCTCTTTAAAGAACGAAGAAAAATGGATCGTTAAATTCATCTTTTTATAGCAATATTAGTACAATCAAAGTCATATGTGATTGTATAAAAAATATTTATTAATGGTCAAAAATAACCTTCTCGTTTTCTTGTAATATGTAAAATGGTGAACTTTCAAGATTTATCATAATTTCTTCATTGCTTTCTTGTTTCAAATAATAACAATCGATATTAATGCGTTTTTTATAGCTGATCGGCCGAAGTGTAGGTCAATTGTTCCGCAAGGAAGTGAAAATAAACAATTTACCGCGAATAGAAGTGTTCGGCAAGCCTCAGTCGGTGCGTGTGGACGAGATCTCGAAGAACGCCGCCGATACGGGAATAACAGCTCTGTTCGCTGGCCCTACGTAGCAGACAGTTTTAGAAAGCCACATTCTGCATCGCTGGTCTAACTCAATAAACAATTATAAATTATTGTAAAAGTGTCTCTTCAGAGATGGCCATAGATGCTGGAGAAAGAAGCGCTCGTCCCTAATTGCTGAAACAGAGCGCTTCTCGCCGGAAAAGATTCACTGGTTCTGTGAACTGTGTCTAAAGCATTCGAAGTGTCACTACGCGATTGCAACTTGTAACAAAACCTGCACACGTTGCTTCTCATTTCATTATCACTTCGAGAGATGCTTTCACATTTTAATTACCGTTCGAAAAATTTTCGAATGCACGCCACAAACGAACGGTAATTAAAATGTGAAAGCATCTCTCGAAATGATAATGAAATGAGAAGTAACGTGTGCAGGTTTTGTCACAAGTTGCAATAGTGTAGGAAATCGAGATGATACTTGAGAAATCCTCGGGCACGCCGTGCCCTCACTCAATCACTAGGTGCTTCAAATTAATAGCGAATTCGACTGGCGTGCACTGGCATTGCCGTTACTAATAATCGCCGTTTGATCGCTCACACTCGATCGCAATGATGGTAAAAGAAACAAGGCTAACTGAAAGTCGGGAGGAAGCGCATTTAATGTGCGCCCAGTCGAACTCGCTATAAGTCTCGGATATAAATGATAAGTACACGTTCGATTCATCATGGATATATCTACACGCGTGACTGTCACGAGTTTTTTCTGCACTTTCCTCACTCTGAAATCAATTGTGAACATTTCAAACTGACGAAGATGCAGCACGCAGTTTGGTGATATAACGTGTAGAATAAGTCTTCACATTGCGCGTTCTGTCGTTACTCTTTATTTATTGTAATTAATTTTAAAGGATGTAAGAGGGAAAGCACGAGAGCTCGATCGGTCTCGATCGGTCTCATTGACTCGGGACCGAGTCTTCTCGATGGAGATGTTTCGGCGCGTTATCGTCCCTTTAATCGTCCATTTTCGATCGCGCAGAGAGCAATTTCCAGAAGACTTATACATCACAGAACGTTCGTCTTTTACGTACGGGAAGGCTCAACGGGGTTGCGAAGGGAGTGAACAACGGCACGTGATGGACTATTGTGATAAGGATAACGCGTAGTTAAACTGATAACAATTTTTAACGGTGTATATTGAAGCGAGCGACTTAAGAAAGTCGCTCATCTCGCTACTTTATGCAAATGAGGAAGAAAGCAAAAAGACGCGGCACGCTCTGCGAAGAGCCGAACCGAAAAACCGTAGTATGTTCCACATTCTTTTTCCTTCCTTTTTTTTTTTCCTCCTTTTTATGAAGCTATGTTTCTGAAGTCCGCAGTGTCTACAGCAAGCTAGATCTGCTCTCTTTAGCTGCGAGCTTTCCAAATCTTATCGGTACTTAAAACCGAATGCATGTTCGCGGTTTTTGAGGAAAAAAGCTAGAAATTTGTAATTCGGAAGGTGCAGCCAGACGGAGCAAATCTATTGTATTATAACGTCCTAAGGATTTGGAAGTATAGTTTATTACATCGGTGTCATATATTTATACATATAAGTATATACATATTGTACAATAAAATCTGATAGCGATCTTTACCAGAGTAGAAGAGAATGAATTGTAATCGCTCGTCTATACATATATATATATATATATATATGTATGTATATATATATATTTGTTTCGAATGTTCATATTATATACGATTCGTTGATTTTTTCCAAGGCATAGATCGACGCCGAAAAAGTGTGCGACGCCACAAAGTAATGTCGATCAACGTCTTCCTAACAGCCGAGTTTTCTCGCGAAGCAAAAATCGAGACTGGCTGGTACAATTGATGAAATTTACACGGCACTATATATTTACAATGCGAATCGAAAACGGCAGTTTTAACTCGAGAATACGCGATCTGCGCGGGAGCACGCGACATTTGTACATTACGATTCTTAATATAAATGCGAATAAACGACGATTTAGTGCGTTGGAGAGTGTAGGCGGCCGATCACCCGTGTAGTTTGACATGCAAAACTCGCGGAAACGCTCCAAGAAATTCCGTGTATCTAGAATATTAAATAAGTATGTTTTTTTAAGACGAGAGAGGAGCGTCTCAAACTCATACACGCACACACATACACACACATACACACCCACACGGGTTGCCCTACCAAAATTTTACTGTCGTTGCAATATCACATATCAAAAACGTTTTAGTCGATTTTTACAAACTCTTTTTATCTTCTCGTTTTCCCGTTCGCCTTCTAGCTCGACTAGAATGCGTTCCGTGCTTTTTAAACAATTACGATTATATTTAATTTAGTGTCTCGCGTGCACGTTTGCTTTTTCGCAAGGCCTTGCACGGCGCGGCGCGTTGAAATTCGTAGATTCCTTCATCGTACGCTACTTTCTCAAGCATTCCACCGTCGTTTTTTTTTTTTTTTTTTTTATTCTTTAGTGTGCGATTCGTAGATCATGTGAGAAAAGTGGTCATCAATTTACAAATTGAACAAAGACAGGATTCCGTCGCAATACGAGACGGCTTCGTATAAAAGCATTTAATTTTGTATCAGTGGAACATCGGCGACGAAGGTGCAACAAGCGTTTCCCTTCTGTCGCGCCGTTTCGCGAAACGAGACAAGCTTGTACAGAGTTAAGGAGCGTTAAAAGCTGTCCACTCGGGTGGATTCATTCCAATGCTTTTGGAAAGTAGCTTTCGATGCTCCAAACTGTACAACGGGAATTCTCGGTATAAGCACGCATTGCCAGTTTTACGTAGCGTGTCGTAAAGTGTTTGAAATTTCTCTCTCCCCCTTTCTCGGTGTCGCGTCGGCGAAGACTCGTGTACGCCATCGCGCGAAAACAATGCACGTCTAGCATCGTCGACGTGAAAGTCGACACGATATATATGGCACGAGAAATCAATTCAGGATGATTAATTAATAGGATAATCAATTCAGAATCATTCAGGTATTACAAAAAGTACCCGCTTGCTCCAGTTTCAGTCATCGTTGACTGGCAAAATTATGTACATCATTGAATTCAAAATGACGTTGTTTTCACAGTGACACAATTCATTCTTTATTATCGATAATTTGATCTATTCAACAACATCACATTGCACACTTACACAATTCTCAGTTAAACATGCCGAAAGTATCGAGTACTACTCGGATGGCTTCATGATTAACGTTCATACATACACACACACGCGCGCACACATACACACGCGTAGATATATGTGTATGTGTGTGTAACAAAGAAAGGATTGCGACATTTATGACGTTTATGAATCTGACAGTTATCGATGCCAGGCGAGAGGGCGGCGGAGAATCACAAGACCTGGCTGGCGTTTTTTGTACGTCAGCTCGAAGTGAAATCAGTTATGATCTTGTATATATATATAATATTGTAATAAAGAAATTGCATTGACAATAATGACATGTACGTCAATATATAGAGCCTGGCGTCTCTCTGTCTTTTCCGTAAGATTTGTGTACGTTCCGTAAATATACAATTTACATTTTATTCGACATCTCGTTAACGTGTTCTGCCCCTACCACAAATTGACGAAACGTAATGCACGCGAAAAGACCACCGTGGGCTTATCGTACGCTCTCGACGCAAAAGAGGAAAACTAATAATTGACTGCGATCTTCGAGGAGACGATTGACATTAAGTTTCACGGCGAATCGAAGCGATACATTACGAAGTAATTTCTGTACAGCACCCATCGAGCGCCCTCAAGCACCCCCGGAAGGGATGCTTCAACATAGAAATCATAAATACATAACAGCGTATATTTACATGCATGCCGTACACGTGACACTGTTGCGTTCACACGGAACAATATCTCGTTTAGTTAGACGCTACTTAAAATTACAACCACGATTAGAATACTTGTGTCGATATAAACGCGTTACTTCCGGACATCCAATGTCAATCTGACCGATACGTCGATACTCGCATCGTGTATCGCGCATACGAACATCGTGTCTCAAGTTCCTGTGTTAGCGCAGTCTCTCGAATGAATCCTCGAAAGCTGAGACTTCTCAGATTTTCAGAATGCGCGAGTATACAGATATACACACATACACAACATACATATATAGAAATACTATTCCTACAGCATGAAAAAAAAAAAAGAAAGTTCCATCGAACGCGGTATCGCTTATATCGATTAAAAAGAAAATGCAGTAAGATACTCTTTGGAATCCGACGTAGCGGGTATATTTTCGTTGCGGATCGTTCATTCGATTTGCGGATTTTGCGAAGCTACGTTTGTGGAATGTGTTACGGCATAATTTCTTGCGGCGAGTGTCGCATCTACGGCAAATTCTAAGCGTGATCCGCGCGCACGAAACGCACGCGTTCGCTACCTGAATCGTTACTTGAAATCGGTCTTTGGTAAAATCATGTTTCATCATTTGCGATCGCTCCGAGACGAAAATTTCATCTTCGTTTCACACATCAGATTAAGCTTGTAACGTTTTGCCTTGCTTCCACTTATGCATGCGTTACAATATCAAAGAGGAAGACAAAATTGTAAAAATTTACTCTCTCTCTCTTTCTCTTTCTCTCTCTCTCTCTCTCTCTCTTTCTTTTCTATCACTTTGTAAGTTTTATTTAACGGGGTAAATCGAGCTTCGTTGACTTTTTATCGCGATACACTTCGCTGTTGCTCTTAGAATATCGATAATAGAATGCCACATTAATTTGTCAGAGTTGCAGCACGAGTGTTTATCACTATCGCTTGTGCTGTGAGAAATAATCGTTCTTTCGAGACTCGACGTTTAATTATACATATATATATATATATATACACATACATATTCGCAAAATTCATTCACGACGTATACATACACATATATACAGTGTCCCGTAATCTGCGAATCAGGATATAATACGAAATATATATATATATTTATATATTACACAAATACATATACACAAATAATTTCCATTTCGATGCTCGTTAACGTAAAACGCTCTTAAAAAAGACTCCTCCGTCCCCGACTTAGTTTTGTACTCAAGACAAAGGCAGATCTCGGATAGTCCTCCGTGATATATATTTTCTCGCGTTGTACACATCGTTCAATATTTACAAAAATACAATAATAACATCTCTCGTTAATAAATATCTTTCGTTAGTTTGAGCAGTCAACGAATAAGGCGAGTACATTTCTCTCAGTAGCGCGACTGCTACTGTTTGCAAAAATATAGCGCACACACACACACACACACACTCACACACTCTCTCTTTCTTTCTCTCTCTCTCTCTATTCACAGACATCTCTCTATCTGATATTTCGGCCTGAATCGATTGCCAGTATCGAGTCTGTCCACATTTGGATAGTTTCTTTTACACAGTTTCGCATCTATTAAAAAATTTGAGTTATTAAATTATAAAATATTTATCATAAATCTATTCGCAATTCTTTAATTTTTAATTATTTCGTTAAATATATAGCATTGTTAAAGAAGAATGCATCTATCTTTCAACAATATATAAATGTTTAATGAAATATCTGAAAGTGAAAGGTAAAAGGGTAGATTACTGATATTTAATCACGTGTTACCTCAAAATTCAAATTGCAATAAATATCTACATCGTCCGCGAGTTAAAAGCGCGAAACATCCAAATATTAAGGATAGACAGGCTCTATCGATCGATGCAGGTTACAAATAGTGTCAAATGCGTTCGTTGCCGAGAATACCGGCGCAATCGACGTTTCAAGCGTCGATTCCGCCGGCGACCTGCTTCTTGCCTATCAATAGGAACACATCCATGTTATCCTTTCCCTTCACGTAAACCTGTCCGCGCGGTTCGAACTCGTATCGTTCCGACAGGACGTCCAGACAATTACTGGCAATCTGAATCCTTCCGGCGACCCCAGTGGAGTCCATCCTCGACGCTATGTTCACCGCGTCGCCCCAGATGTCGTAATACAGCTTGGTGGCGCCGATCACGCCCGCCGTCACGTCGCCGTAGTTGAAGCCGATTCGCAGGATCAGCTTGAAGCCCAACAGGTCCCGGTTGAAGTCGTATATCACCTTGTGCATCGCCACGGCGAAGTCCAGCAGCTGGAACAGATGCGTGTACTCGTGCTCGCTCTGCTGCCGCACCTGCGGATTCAGGCCGCTCGCGGCCATGAAGGTGCTGCCGATCGTCTTGATCTTCTCGACGTTCGCGAACTCCGGCCTCTCCAGCAATTCGTCGAAATCGCCGATGAGCTCGTTGAGCACGCGCAGATACTCCTTGCCGCCCAGATACGACTCGTCGTACAGCTCGTTGAAGTTGACGATGCTGGCGAAAATAATGCCCACGGATTTGTGATTCTGCGAGTATTTCGCGGTGGTTTTCAGCTGGTCGGCCACGTACTTGGGTATGATGTTGTGCAGCAGCCAGTCCGCCTGATTCTTCATCGATTGGACGCGCGTCTTGTCGCGCGCCGCCACCGCGTTGCCGTGGAAGCACAGCCGGTAACTGATCTCAAACTCGCGATTCAGAAACCAGACCAGAAACAACAGCAACATCATATCCAGATAAATCTCGGAATTGTACAATCTCTCGTTGTACGTGGCGCGCCAGGCCACTTCCTGCTGCGCGAACGACGAGGCGGCGAGATCTCTCGTGGCGCTCGGCGGATCGCTCGGCTGCGTGCGATTATCGCTAAGATTCCCCCGCTGATACGGTGATATGTGACTCACCACGAGGCATACGAACAGCCCGCCGGCGAGGGTGACGAGCAGATTCTTCATCCAGCAGTTGAGCTGCGTGAAGTTGCAGAAGTGCACCAGCCCGACGAAGATCAGGTAGCTGTAGTAATACTCGAAGTTGCTGAGGCGCGAGCTGTTGCACGTGAAGTTGAGCAGGATGGAGATAATCGGCAGGCCGACCAGGATCGCGCCGCACGCATGCCACGGGTACCAGCGTGAGAAGAACTTGAAGATCCTCTGCGTGAACGTCGCGTGTGCGGTGTTCGGATAGAGGAGTTGACGGATGCAGAGCGACACCGCGATCACCTGGACGGTGATGGCGAGCACCGAGAACGCCGTGTAGTAAGCCGACTGCTTGCACAGCAGGAAAAGCGAGATCGTGATGGCCGTGTAGACAAGAGCGGATATCAGAATGTCGAAGTACGTGTTGAATCTCGAGGTCGCCAAAGTGGGCGGATTGTCGCCGATACCCTCGCTGACCTTGTGCGCATTCTCCCGGTACTCCTTCTCCATCTCTTCGTTCCTGAAGAAGAGAGTGACGCTCGAAAGAGGCGGCTTGACGAAGTACGAGCGCTGCGAGCTCACGTTGTCCTGGACGCACCTTTAAGAATCTCTTCTTAGACAGATTGGCCTGAATAGAATTCATCAAATTCTTCCTACAATCTAAGCTCACCTGATCAGTTGGAGATCGGATTGCTTCCGTAATTTATGAAAGCACGCGCCGAACGTGTCGGTTACCATCGGAGGAAACGGATAAGGAGGCACCGACGATGAGGGCTCGTGAGTGGAGTTCAATGTTGAGCTAGAAGTGTAATAACCGCTGACTCTGTGTCCCAACAGATCACCCTGGGCCATGCCGTTCATCAGAAACAACTGCGAATCGTAAGAAAAAAATGTGTGAAGCGGTCAAAAATATATGAAAGGAATGCTAGTTTGAGGAAAAAAAAAATACCTGCTGTTGAATACTACTCCGTCTGCTGTTGCTCTTGATTCCAGAATCTTTCCTACTGCAAATGGAAGAAGCGTGACTAATCGGCTCTTGACCAGATAATAAAGGACTAGAAGGTACAGGATTCGGATCCATTTCGACACCGTTGTTCAAAGGAACCTGCGGATCGATGAGTGCAAACTATATTTAAACGTTAATATACTGATAATTGTGAAGAATACACGAGCGATAAACCGCTGAGCGATATTGTTGCAGAATTTTTTAAGTAATGGCCAAAAATCTGGATAAATTTTACTTATTTTAGCTGTTTTATTTACCTAATTTTTTTCATTAATTTATCTGCATTTTATATGAAAATGTAATTTCAAACATCTCACATACGAAATCTAACAAGTTTGACAGCGTGAAGAAGAAAAAGTCAAATTTGGATTTCACATGCTCGATTTCTCTCGAATTTTTATCTGCGACGCCCTCAGCGATTTACCATTTCGATATAAACGGTTGGTAGAATAAAATCACTAACCCGCCTAAATCCATTGCATTCCTGATAGGTTTGAAAATCGGGTTTCGCTTGTTCCATAGCGATGTTCCTTCCTTCTTCTATCTCGAGCGGTGTCATTTCCTCGGTCGTTCGCTGCCTCTGCAGATACCTCCACGGTTTATTCCGCAGTTTCTTCTTGCCGTAACTAGCGGTGGACGTCGGGCTCTTGTTCGAGTCCTCTTTCTCGTCCATGGTGTCCCCGTCGTTCTCAGAATCCAAGATACTAGGCAAGGAGTTAGCCTTCATCCTGTAGCTGCTCGCATTGGTAATCATATGGAGATAATGATGCCGCGGCTTAGCCTGCTGGTTGCACGACGCCAGACGACTTCGCGACTGCAACAACGGCGAGATACTCTTGGGCGACGTGATGTTCGTGATAAATTGATTCACAAAGTCGGATTTGCGGGCTCTGATGAAGTAAGTTTTCACACCTGAAACAATAAGAGTTCGCGAGCGAATTGTAAAATTCAGATCTTTCTTTCTTTTTTTTTTATATGATATTGTCTTATTCACCATTTAATATTTCTCCGTCTTCTGTGATATATTGATCTCCCAGAAATCTCAATGTATTCTCACTTAGATGAACGCGGCCGGGCTTTCCCGTGCTCTCCAGTTTGTTCGCCAGGGTCACGTCGTTCGACCACACGTCGAACTTGAATCTCTTGGTGCCCACGAGTCCGCAGAGTACGGTGCCCGTGTGCACACCCACTCTCATGTTCACGCCCTCTCGTCTCTCGATGTCGAACTGCTTTATCGCTTCGATCATAGCTGTTAAAATGAACAGCGGGCAAATTGAAAACTATTTGAAAATTAGAGCTATAAATAATTTTTGTGAATTATCGTACAAAAAATTATACAACGTTATACTAGTTTTGTGATTGAAATTATCTAACACTACCTAGCCCCATTTCTATGCAGCATTTGGCGTGATCGGACCTCGGCTCGGGACACCCGCTCACGCAATAGTAGCAGTCCCCCAGCGTGGAGATCTTCTCGCATCCGTGATGCTCGCAGAGATCGTCGAAGCGTTCGAAGAGATCGTTGAGTATGCCGACCAGTTCCTCCGCGGTTTTGTTCGAGCTCATCCTGGTGAATCCGACGATGTCGGCGAACAGGATGCTGACGTCCTCCATCGAGTGCATGTTGAAGGGGCGAAACAACGAGCGGATGTCGGTATTGTTGGACGGTATCGAGCCCTTCTTCAGAGAGTCCTCCCGTTCCCTCTCGCGCTCGCTCTCTTCCATGAGCCAATCCGCGACCGTCGGCGGCATCACCGAGTGTATCATCTTCTCCTTCAACTGCTTCTCCACCTCCAGCTGTCGGCGGACCAGTAGGGACTGGCCGACCTTCATGAATGTGCCGCGCATCCTCACAAAGGTCATTATCAGGATGTGCAAGCCTATCAAGTGGATGCAAATCTGCATCAAGATCCTTATCGCGAGATTCGTGGAGAAATTAATATCATCGGCGAACATGTTGTCGCTAATATAATTATCTATAGGCGATACGGTTGAGACGCTCGAGTTTAATCTCGTTAAGATACTCGCGTCGCTTAGAGCGCTTTGCATTTTTTGAGCCATCATTCGGTGCTCCGAGAAGCTTGATCCCATGTTTATTATGTTTCTGCCTTCGTGCGGCGTCGACGTCGCCTCCGTACTGCTAACTGCTATAGTAAAATCACTAATATTACGTATCACATTCTGTAGACCAGCAACAATTGAAGGATCCTTTAAAGACGAGGGTACGGGTGCCGACAATCTCTCCCCCTCCGCCGTCGCGTTGTTCATTCCTATGGTACTATCTTGCGCGACTCGTTCGCTCGCGTAGAATCTCTGTCGTGCGTCACTCGAGCCGTACAGATAGGCAGTCAAGAACTCAAACATGAACGAGTAGAGCGTAGATATTCCCACGCAGGCGTAGAGCGGCATCGGTAGCACCGTATAAATAACTAATAAGATCTCCGAGCACAAGGCGAAGTGTCCGACCTGAGTCAGACCGCCCATGTGAGGCGGTACCACGGCGAGGAAGAGTAAGGACAAGAAACAGAGCATGAACGCGACTCCTAGGGAAATCGGCTGTACGTAGGATTTGTAGTAATCCGTATACGTCAAATAAAGCACGCCCGACACCATGGCGCCGACAATACCGAAGGCGCCCGCTATCGCTGCCCATGTTGATGTACTGTTTTCTATTCCAATTATCACAAAATACACCAGCCAACATAAGGACACCAGAAGGATATATGTGAGAGCATATCTGCAAGAAATAATAAACAGTCAGAACCGTTTTTTTGTTTTTTTGTTTGTTTTTTTTTGACAGAAGAATGAGAATACAATAATAAAATCATGTAAGTAGATTCATAACACATATTAATGTTCGTAAATATGCATGCGTATACGAATTGTGTATTAATATTACTAACCGAAATCTTAATCTAATTTGAGGAAAGGCACTTCTTCTATACTGCTCCTCGAGAATTTCCGAGTCGAATCTAGGGTTCCACCAGGATCTTGGGGCAGCACGTTCAAACGGCACAGGCAGATTGACACCGCAGCATCCTAAGCCCTGACCACTGTGTGCCAGGTATGTCTGTACATATGGTGCCAGAGATATGTGAATCTCATCCTCAGCATCTTCACTATCATCCTTAGCTCTGGTAAAGCTGACAGACGAGCCACGTTTCCGATTCAAATCAGGAGTCATATTGACGATCGAATAGAACTGAAAAAGAAACAGTAATATTTTAAAATTATTATGGTAAGAAATCAATTATCTATATTAACTAGAAACAGAAAAAATATTTAAAATAATTTAATTAATTTAACTCATTCAAGAAAAATATATGTATACTGCTGATAAATTTGATTCTATTGTCTGGTCATATGTTGTAAAAATATTTAAAATATTAATATTATTTTTTAAATATATTATTTAGAATGTATATGTCATTTTATGAATTAAGGAAAATTTGAATAACACATGTATCTATAAAACAATAGTTCTATTGAATGTAGTCTTATTATGCAACTTAAACTATCAATATATATACTGCTATTCTGTTACAACTTCAATAAGCAGCTGCTACTAATAATACTGTATGCTACGCCATTTAACAAATGTTACCAATGAAAACTAACGATTCTTACAATATGCATGTCTTTACCATTCTCTTATATTATATTACCGCAAAGAAAAATATAATTCTAAATATAGCCATAAATATAAAATTTATATAATATAAAAAACACTTTTATGACATTTATTTTAAAGCAGTAGGATTAAGCTGAAATAATTTTGTAACAAAGCAAGCATTTTTTACTATATAAAAATGTGATTTTTATAGAAATTAATGACTACAAATGCTCCGCAAGGAATATTTTTTATGAATTTCCTTATTGTGCGCGCACAGTTAGATTGTACCATAATTGTCAACTTCAATGTCAATTCATTAATTATTATAATATCTTACAACGCAAGTGAAACGTGAGATTTGAAACTGACAACCCGCCAGAACTTACCGTCAGTTGTTTTATTTCGGTCAAGGGCGAAAACGCCGAAAAATTTGTGAAATCATCCTCCTTAATGACATCGAAGGATCTCGCAAGAATCAGCTAGTGTCACAGAACACCATTTTTTCATAGCTCTTTTTCAACGGTACCGTCGCAGAGATACGGGCAGGTCTCAGTAAAGCTGACCTCGGAATACACGGACGGCGTGACTGAGTGAATTGTTGTGGGTGTAAAAAAATTACGCTTTTTTGCCGAGACTATTAAAATATTCTCCACTACGATATCCCACGGCCATCTTAAACCCGTCAATGCCATCGACGGAGATGACGGCCGATGACAGCGCCTAAACTAAAACTCTTCTCCAGGCATCCAAACGTCAGACGGAGAATTGTTACTAAATCGCTAAAAAAAAAAGATTATAAACTTTACTAAGAAAAAAACTAGTGATAATATAGAAACTTTTCATTCGGAGCTACTTTTACACTACATCTGTCATGCGCTGTCTGTTATCCAATAAAAAAAATTTGTTTTTTAGAGACAAATATAGCACTAGCTAAAATCTCTAAAAAATACTTTGTTTTATTGGACATTGGCGTCAAATATTGCATGCATTGTGCATCGTACATAATTTTTATTTTCACGCCGGTAAAGAAGATCGCCCATCTATAATTTCGAATGATCGATGACAGATCATCAAAGCAGTACTCATATTTCGCACGCATCGCGCGTGAACGGAACATGACAGTTTGGACGTTCGCCAATTAAATTAGATTATCAACCGTTCGGCGGATGATTGTCATAGCCGATACGATTTCACCGACGAAAAGACGCCGCGGTCAGCAGTCGCGGACGAGCGCCGTCGTCGGTGGTTTGCTGTTTTGCATACGTGGCAGAGGTCGCTCACCAATGAGGAGAGTTGCCGGCCGATAGGCGTGGCTTGCAGCGCCTAGTACTGCTCGCTCCACGTCCGGCCGCCATAGTGCTTCGGTCAATCGTGTCGCGTGTATGTGATTTCCACATCCGTCGCGCTGACTCTCTCGCTCTTTTCGATTCGCAGCCGTGCGTCCCGTAGCGAGGAGTTCGCAGCACGTCGCTCCGCCACGATCGTGTCCAACCTTTTGACGTGTCCGTCGCAACATCGTGTCGTGGGATTTACGGAAATAAACACCCTCAGGTAAGTGGTGTATCGCGGCGCGCCGGGACGTGCACGGTGGCACGGCGTGCCGGTCGCCGCAACACCCGTTAAACGTGTCGATCCGCCGGTACTCGCGAACATGTTGCCGGTCGATTCCGGAGACGTGTCGATGACCGGCGCCCTGTCATCCATATGTTATTGTCCCGCTTCAAATCCGATATTCAGCACAATCATTTGCCGCAGCTCCTCGTTTAATTCCGCTCTCGCCCGTCTGCTCGAACTGCATACGATGTCTCACCGTTATTCCACCAGGATGTGTCTCAAGGACATATTTATCGCGTATTTACATTCGATTCGCTTTGCACTTTGCACAGGAATTTCCTCGATTTGATTATTGTTTGCAGTTTTTCGATTTTTTTCTTCAAATGTGTATTTTTTGCGTCAGATAACTGTTTTCTTATATTTTTGTTTTTTATAAAGCTGACGTAAAAGAGGGATTCCCATAAATATATTATTTTCTGGATGATTCACGAAATAAGAATTCTGTTATCTTCTGTGCTCAGTGATCTATGTGCAATCTGCAAACTGCATCTAAGATTAGAACTTTAAAGGCAAGCAGCTATATAAACATACCCAAAATGAGTAATGTCGATATAGATAAGAGAATATTATTTTAATTAGATGGTATATTTTCTTCCAAACTATGCATGCTGCTGATGAATGATAATCTCATTTATCTTATATAATATATCTTATATATTGATAAAGTGATAATTACTTTGCAGATAAAACAATTAAAGATGGATTTCCAGACAGGACTTGTGTATGTTGGCATTGTTGTCCTCTCAGCTGCAGCCATTGTTTTAATATCAATGATTGGTATAAGAGAGAAATCTTACGAAGAAGCCATCGCCGAGCAAAGAAAGTTTCCGGATGATCTGTTGTCAAGTATGTTAATTAATTTTACATGATCTGCTCATAAAGTCAAATTTTTATTTGGTTGCATTATTTTAATGTATATGAATTGATTTGATCTAAATTAAAAATATGATTAATATCAACAAAAATAAGTAATGATGAATATAAACAAAATATTGAATATTGTTCTAAAAAAGTATTCTCATGGCGTCGCGTCGCTACTGCGTCGCTTGATAAATTTTGTATCTTTCACTAATCTTTTTTCATTATTTTTATTTATAGATAAAAAGGATAAAAATAAAGAAAAGAAACACAAGAAGGCAGGAAAGAAGGTAAAAGAGAAGAAAGAGGAAAAAGATGACAAGGATGATAAGGATGAAAGAGTGGAGCATGTTCAATTCGAAGAGACTCCGCAAATATTGCCTCCTGAGCCACCAGTGCAGGTAAGTTAATTCATTTATTTATTCTTGTCATTTGTTGCAAACAGATTTATAAGAGAATTAAACGAGATGTGGATTATAAATACTCTCGTGTTTAACATCATATAAAAGTACATCAGGATCACTCTAATTATTGTGGATAGATGTATTAAAATGCATATACGCAATTTAAAATTGACATGCTTTTCATACTCACACAGGTATGCATCACAATTATGGTTATTTTACTTAAAGATATAGGAATTGTATACGAGGTTTTGACGTATCAAAGAAAGAAAATTTTCTATGATTTCATGCATGAAATATAATAACCTAGATGACACACAATATGGTATATCATTACATCTATTCAGCATTAAAAAGAGACTTATGAGACAGAGAGAATATCATATTTTTGTTCTTTTGTCATATAATTCACGAGACACGTCCACATTCGTATAGGATTGATCTAATGGATACTATTTAACAATTATATTTAATATTTTTAACATTTCATCCGTAAGACGCAATAATAATAACACTACAATTTTTTGGGTGTAATAATTTGTAAGATAAAATAATTATAAGAAAATTTTCATAGGGCATTTCATTGCATCATACTTATGCATTGTGCGTAAAGATGTTCACATATATATGGAATAAATTCCAACACTTATTAATCGTATGAATACTTATATATTACTTATATGCATTATATAATAATGGGTATTACGTTGAATAACTTACAGCGAGAGAATCCTAATGAGAAAGTGTATTTTCACATTAATATTAATTTACATTTTTTATTGGAAGATATTCATGAGCTTCATGTAAACTTTATTGAATTATTCTACTATTTTTTTCCAGAAAGTCGTGATTTTTAACAGCTTTCCGATGTATGTACTTTTTGTATATATATACATTGACGTTCCTTCTTTTTTTTTATTGCTGCTTTCAATTGTTCCTTCAATTGTTTCTTAATACACTTTTACAGCCATTTTGTTTCGATCTTATAGATCTTTTTTACTACATTATTATTTCATCTCGCTTTATAAACGTTGTTTTAAATAAAAATTGCAGTTTATTGCTTCATTATTTAACAACTTCGAGTAATACACATGAACGATGTTCCGGTAAGTTATCTGAAAATGTGAATACTTTATTTGAACGGAAGGTTATTTCGTGAAGCATTTTATCAAGGTTATTTTATTAAGTGTTATGGCAGATAACCAAAAAAAAATTAGAGCTTATAAGTAGAGTTTATTGGTATTTAGAAAAAACTAATTCATAAATAAAGATATTTTACGGTACGCTTTATATTGAGAAGCTGAGAGCATTTAGAATCGATTTTGATCCTCCAGTCGTTACTCGATTATTTCTTGCATACGTGCCCATTGATAAGTAATTCTGAAAGTTCAAGATTATTTTCTAAAAATAACTTCATCGCATGTGCAGCAGCATTCCGATGATACTGCTTCAATCTCTGGACGCCTTATCACATAGATTATAAGAGAGCCAGACATGAATAATTTCCTTCATTTATTGTAGCAAAATTGGACACTTGCCACAAATCTTATTTCTATTTCTACGCGAATTAAAATATTTTTCGAAATCTTTGCAATAATTTTGCAGACCGCTTTAATTATAAAGAAAATATTGTAAGAAAATTCACAATAATATGATAAACTTGTAAATTCCAGGTTTATATGCACAACAAGAGGACAAAATAAGCGTAATGATAAGGTGAACCGCTTAATAAATTGCAATATTAATTTATATTAATTAATTATTCTTTATAAGCTTATTAAAATAATTTGAAATATTTAAATTAATCGTTTGGAGTTTAATAATTTTTTAATAATTAATTTAATTGTTAAAAAATTATGCAAAACGCTATGATACAGTGATATTTATTAAATTACTTACGTGCCCATTATTATATGATGTAACATGAAATTTCGAGCATGCCGCTTGATATTTCTCGACATTGCTGCTTTGATCGAATAATACGGGAACACTGTACGTCTGCATTAAACTCTTAGGAGAGTAACAAAGGCAATAAGAAGAAAGGAAAACTTGAAAAGATAAAACCAATCCTCGTAAATAAAGACGAGCCATTGGTCATTGTGACTGAATTAAATCCTTCGCAACCTCCCTTGGCAGAAGCTAACCATTTTGACCTCATTCATCCAAAAGATGACCTTGAACTCGTGCGGAATCAGAGTGTGAGTGATTGCCATTCGCAGAATATCTCACACAGCACACGTATTTTCTGCACACACTGTGTTTCGCTTTGCAATTAAATGGAGTTTAGAATGTAATAATACGTCCAAAAGCAAACAAGTTGCTTTTTCAAACATTTGTTAAGTGTTTTTGAGATTCTTATCGTATCTTTTTTTTTTTTTTTCTTTTGCTTACTAACTTTCTTTGCTACTACAAAGTAGGGGAAACTGCTTATGCCTGATAATGTGTACGTTTATTAAATATTCATAACTAACAGAAAATTAATTCACAAAACATTTACAATTGCATTGGAAATAACAATAAACTAATCACTAAAATATTTTAGGTGGTGTTATAATGCTGTAGATTGTACTGTGAATATTGTATTGTGTTTCCGCCTTTTCTTGTATTTTTTTTATTTTCTACAAATTATGCAATATTAACAATATGTTTGTTATACAACAGAAAGAGAATCTTCAGCAGATTACTCAAGTGGAGGCGGTGGAGAGAGCCAACAAGTCACCAAAGGATACTCCAACCAAAGCAAAAAAGAATAACAAGGACGCCATAAAGAAGAAAGATGAGAACGCTAAGGATGAAAAGCAGGACACCAATGCTCACATTAATGCATCGTCCGCTAATAAGGAAGGTGGGAAGGAAGTGAAGGAGCAGCAGAAAGAAACGCCGGTTAAAGAAGTGAAAGAAGTCATTAAGGAAGTCGTGGTCCAGCAGTTGACAAATAAGGAGCCCAAAAAGACGAAAAAAAAGAATGACATCTTATCTCAAATTGGTAAGTCGTTATTTTTGAGAAAATTCAATTTTTTTACTTGTATTATCGTTTCTCATTATTTTAAATATTCGCGAGATTGTGTTGTTCTTTGTTTATAATTATTTCTATAATATTATCTGCTTAAGCTAATAATCACTTTCGATGAGTAAATGACAAAAGCACAGTACAAAAGGTGATGAATCTTGTAGGTGATGTTTCTTATAGAGAACAAATCAATATCTAACCTGATATAACGTTCTATAGTCTGCAATTTAATTGATTGGAAATACGACCTTACTTCTCTCTGCACTATAACTTGCGAGTTCTTATACTAAGAGGAATATGCTTGATATTCGTGTACATTTATGTTTTTTTTTTTCTTTTCTTTATAAATATATATAAATATGTATCAGTTTTTAAATGAATCTAATTCAGTACATTATACGAAGAAAATTTATAATAAAATCGCTGTATGTTTGACATGAAGTCGATAGATAATATTAACACGAATTTTCTATTTCGCCACTATGTATGTACAAAGTTAGAACGTTTGATGAAAAGCCGTGTGAATTATGGGAAGAATCCACTCAAAGCAAAGCCAAGCAAATTCCTTTGAAGTACTTTGGAATGCGGTTGAGGTAGGATCACTTCCCCCTCCATTGACACGTAGGTCAATGGTCTTAATACTGAGGGTCCTGCAACATGAGCAGTACATAATTTCAAATCTCTGATGCATTTCTGAAGTAAACAATGGCACTTCAATTTATACAAACAATTATATTTTACATTATATTTTTGTACGGAGTTAAATACATTTATATTGATTTATATCCGAATAATTTTTGTCAACTTTTTTATTATTTTTAATTTATAATAATATATATGCATATACATATAATAACATATATGCAAATATTGTGTGTAGAATAAGTTTAAGTTAATAAAAAAATTCTTTATGTTTAATTGCAACATTTATTAATGCGAAATTCTTCTTCTCGCGTTTCAGACGGAGATGCTGTCAATGTCGAGCTACTGATGCTGTGTATTCAGAAAGCGGAGCTCAGCCGATCCGAAATACAAGTTCTTACCAATCAGCTGTTGAATAAGCAGCAGGACAGTCCGCTGGAGCATTCCGAGTGGACGGAGGGTCGCGCCGACCCTGTCATCAAGCTGAAGAAGCAGCTGGCGGAGAAGGAGAAATCGTTAGCTGACGAGCACGAGGCGAGCATAGCCTTCCAGAACAAGCTGAAGGAACTGAGAGCCGAGTTCAACACGGAGAGATCCAGGCTCTCGGCGAGCATCAGGCAGCTGGAGGAGTCGTTGAGCGCGAAGGTCACCGAAACCCAGACGTTACACACTCGAATGCAGCACATTCTGGAGAGCCACGCGGCGGAGAAGCAAGGCTTCGGCCGGCAGATCGAGCAGCTGCAGACCAAAGTGAACGAGGACTCCGCTATTATTCACAAATTGCAGGAGGACCAAGGGCAGACTCAGGGCCATCTACAGCAGGAGCTGATGGCGCAGCGGAAGCAGATGGAGGTGCAGTTCGCCCAGATGCGCGAGAACGAGAACGCCCTGAAGTCGCAGCTGGCCCAGAAGCACGTGGAGGTGCAGGAGCTACAAAATGAACTGCAAGCGACCTGCGAGAGCAGCACCGCTGAGATAGAGATGCTGCGCCAGCAACTAGGGATCATGCAGAATCAACTGATGCACTCGGAAGGGCAACTGCAGCATTTTAAGGAAACAAGCGATCGGCTACAGGATATCGCTAGGCAGCTTGAGGTAAGAATTGTCAATATAAAAATAAAATGATATAATTCCGGCCCGATGGCTTATAAAAATTTGTGATCGCGTGAGAATGTGTTTTCATGCTCTTTTATAAGCTCGCTTTCTCACATAAAGTAAATAATACTGAAATGAAGCAATAAATTATTCTAAAACAATTATGTGATTTTTTTCCTCATTGATAAATGTTCACGAGCTCGACGTCAGCATTAATTCTTGGAAACTTTCAGGAATCCCATCGCACGCACGCGGACTTGGATCATCGACTGAAGAGTGCGCATCGGCACGAGCAAGAGATGCAGAAGCAAGTGAATTCGCTGCAGGCCGAGCTGAGTCTCGTGAAAAACGAGGCCAACGAAGCGCCTACCTTGAAAGTGGAACTCGGTAAAGCGCAAGCCGAATTGATGAAACTGAAGTCGGAGCTGTCAGCCTCGCTGAACGAAGCCAAATCTGAAGCGGCCGAAGTCACAGTCTTGAAAACCGCGTTGAGCAGCAAGGAGGACGAATTGAAGAAATCTCAGGACAAACTCAAAGCAACGCAGAACGATTTACTGCAATCCAACGCGCAAGTTACGCGTGTGGAGTCTCAGTTGAGTTCTGCGCAAAAGGAATTGGACTTGATAAAGACCGATTTCGAGAGGACTGAGTGCAATCTGAAAGAAAAGATGAACGACGCGAACACTTATCAAAATGAGATGCAGAGGCTGCAGAAACTGTTAACGGACGTAGAGGCGGAATTGGCTATGGCTTACACGCAGATCAAAGATTCCAGTGAAGCTGCGAGCGAATTGAAAGCTTTACAGACTGAAATGAATAGATTACAAGGCCACGAGAAGAAGGTGGGAGACGTGGAGTTCCGGGTTGTAAAATTGCAAGAGGAAAACGATAAGCTGCGTGCTGAGGTATTATTCGCTTTTTTTTTAATTTATTCTAGGAATTGTGTATTTTATGCACCAATGTTATTACATGTATTAAAGTTTCAGATATTAAATTAATATAAAAATAAAATAATGTAATATAATTCTGGATAGATTATAAAAATCAGTTTATGCGAAAAAGTGTACTGTAAAGCCAAAGCTTAGCGCTTTCTTAATTTTTTCATCAGTCCACTTTCTTACTCTAAATAAAAATAAAAATAAAATAATCATGTAAAATATAGATTCTTAAGAATTCTGACGAATATGCATTATGTATGTGTAGCTTGCGAATGCTTTAGAGAGACAGAAAGAGCTTCAACAACGTGAGCAAGAGAAAGTGTACACCAACACCTTGGTCGACAACAATTCTTCAACAGCAGACGGCAATTTGTAAGTATTTATAGAATTTATTTATGTAACACTTATTTATAACTTATTATCGACAACTTTCCTTATATTTCACCTAAATTAATTGCAATTTTTTTTCCAGATCCAATGAAGAGAGAACTTTACTGGAGACATTGAAAACTGAGTTGACGCAGAAGAAGAAGGAACTTAACAAGGCAAATGAGCAGATACAGAAGTTCGAAAGTGATAAAAACGAATCCCGACGTTGTATTACGGAACTAGCAAATGCTTTAGAGGCCCAGAAATTAAAAAACGATGTGAGTACTTTGCTTACAAAATATTTTCATACATCTTTGTTCTGTAGATTAATTTTATATCAAATCGAATTAGTTTCACGAATGTCCAGTCTGAATTAAATAGTTGCTTTCACATTGCACATATTTGTTGCTTTCATCAATTTCTCAATTTTTTTCGTACAGATTGACATATTTTTATTCTTCATCATTTTTTTAAACACTTATTTATTTATTGTATTTTATTTTCTGCTCAGGACTTACGCGTTAGAAGCTGGAAAACGATGGAAGCTCTTCATTCTGCTGAGACGCGTGCCAAATATAGTGAAGAATGCATCAAAGTAAATATTTGCTATAATTACTTTAATTGTTTGCACAAATTTAATAATAAAATTAATTATAGCCATAATTATATTCTTGTTTTTCTGAAAATATTTTAATTAAAAATTTTTTAATCTATATATATCTTAATATTTCTTAAATGATATATTTTTTATAACATTGTTTATGTTTCTTTATTAGGAGACAACAGAAAAAGTCAAAGGAGAACAAGAGGAAGTAACTAAGGCTTTTCTGCAGAGGATATTCCCAGACATTAAAGTGTCTGAGAAGACGCACGAACAGTGGCTAAAAGCTTTTGAGGACAAGACATGCGCTGTTCTGAGTGAATTAAAACAGAAAAACACAGATCAGACAAATTCAGATTTGGAGAGACAAAACAAAAATCTGCAAGGCATGGTTTCACATTACAAACAGATTATCGACGATACGGTGAGTTTTTCGTTGAATCTTTTACAGCATTTTACTGAAAAATACATTACTGATGTGTTTAAAACCTCTTTTTAGGAAGGTATGCTTAATAATCTACAAAGTCATATAGAATCCGAGGAGACGAGATGGCAGTCGCAACTTCGGCAAAAGGAAAACGAAGTGGCGAATCTTAGAGTAGAACTTAACGATATGCAATCCAAACTAATAACAAATGAAGAGGTAAAGGTATAGAAATCTTCATTACAAAGATTTTTTAAGCTACTTCTTTCGTTTCATGCTACATTTTTTTTCCTTCGCGGACAGAGGGTGAAGGAGTTGGAAGATCGTGCGAAGCAGAATCGCGCGGAAATATTACTTAAGACCGCGCAGAGAAACACGTCTTTCGACGAAGTAGAAGGCAATAAACTCAGCACTTTAGAGCAATTACAAGAGGTAAAGGATCTCATCGCTATAATAATAATTTATCATATATATTTTCCATCAATGAAATACATATGTTTAATGTAGAATAATGTATGATGTTGTTCGGAACAATTGTAGACGCTATTTCGTGACTCATTTTTTGTTGTCATTTCAGGAGAAGGCTAGATTATCACAGGAGTTGGAAGTAGAGTGCAATAAAAGGGCAACGTTGGACGCGGAAGTTACGAAACTGCGTTCCCTTGTTGAAACTAGTGAGGCGAGTTTAACGTACGAGAAAAATCTTGTCACGCAGCTTCAGCAGGAAGTTTCCCAACTCAAGGTACTTTTATATTTCGGTACAATTGAATTTTTCTCGCAACGATAACATACGATATATATCGAAATACGAACCGCTTTATCGATTCCAGAACGAAATTTGTGGCGGCTGTAGCAGCTCAGAGCAGTCTATGCTGAATGGTCCACCCACATCAAACTCTCTTCAATCCGAGGTTAGTATCTGTCAATGAGGATTTATTTCTTTTTCTCGGATTCTCTTATTTCTACAGTGCCTTCTCTATTGAAAGTGTACAGCTTTTGCTATAACAACAAGAATTTCTCTGTCCTGTTATATAAAAGCATGAGGTATCATGCACAATGCTGCAAAACACTGATATGATAACTAATCACGAGAAATCTCGTGCCGATAATTACTAATGAAAGATTGTGATTCACTGCTCTTCTGTGTGCGGGAGTGTGGGATCAAGCAGCGGCGTATATAAATGTTGTTATTACAAAATTCATAAAACCACTGACACGTCAAGCATGGTGGGAAATTTAATCTCTGGAATTTATTATTCAATCAATGATTATAACATCATCTATATATCGCAATAGAGAGAAACTAATGCTTTGTGTTGAATGTGCATTTAACAATGCAGATGGAAAATCTTTGCGACAAATAGAATTTTAATAAGGTTATTTTTTCTTAAGACTGAGATCACGTTTTTACATTTATGGGAAAGTGCCATGTTAATGAGAATCTTGGTAAATGCAATTTAGTGATAGAGAGAGACGTATATATTTTACAAACGTTCAGTTTGTAAATTAATTAAAGTTGAATGTTAAATTTGCTAAGATATTGATCGTCATCAGTGAATTATTCTAAGCTGCAATTTTCATGTAACATGCTGCAGCCATCCAATCAACACAGTGATTAAGTTGCTGAAAATTCTATATTATTCTCAAAATTGAATATTATTTTTGTAATTATATTCAAAAAATTAAGACTGTCCTCGTTATTTTATAAGTATTTAAAGATATATTTTAATTATATATCTATTAGCAATTTGATTACTGTGTATCAATTAGAAGATTGCTAGTTAATCTAAACGGAACGGCAATTTTGCAAATTTCTATCGACGTTGCGTTACATTGTTATTACATCCGCGAGACGATTTGATAAATTGCCGTTTCCGCAAAACGATTCCTTTAAACAGTCGGATAATAATGTATCTGGAATGCAGCCTCCTCTAGCGTCTCAAGCTCTGATAACTGCATTAGAAAGTACTCTGCTCAAGAATACAGAGTTTGCAAACTGTTCCATTACCAAGCCTGTCAATTTGACCAGTCAGTCTGAACAAGAAATTGAGAACAGTCCCCTTACTACAAAATACTCCTCCAAATCTTGTCATATGCCAGATCACAACACACAGGCTAATTGGAACCCATTGAATGGCCAGCAACATAAAAAGCACAAGAAAAAGAGGAAGGTAAACCTATAAAATTTGAGACAGAGAAAAAGTGTTACTGGCTCGATTACTGTAATAGGTGCACTTCAGTTGGTTATTGAAATGTGAAGACACATTGAGGTTCAATATTGCAAAGAATATTACAAAGATTTTTTTTTATAAGAACGTACTTTTTCAATATTATTTTGCGTTTAATATGCTATTTTATTTTAATACTTATGAATATTAACATTCAGTTCAATTTTGAACTATATATCTATTTTATATATTACGAAGTAAATAACATGGTTATTTATTAATCTCTTACATATATTTAAATAAAACGGAAATGTGTGACGAAAATTGAAAAAAATCACTTATTTGACTAATATATTTTTTACTGTAATTTCTCGCTAATATCTTTATTTTTGGATATTCTTTGTACGATAATATTGAGCTCTCCGTTATTATTTCTTTGCTACTGTTGAAGCAATATTATTTCGATAGCTTGTATCTTGAAGCAGTACTTTATAGTATATATAGATTGGTTTTGTATATTCCAACGTATTTATTATTGTGTCTATCGGGAGGCAAAGCGCGTGCATTTAATTGGCATGACTTAGTACGATAATGATAAGGTGACATAGATGAAGATTGATCTTTGCACCCGCATAGCTCAACTTTTTCACATAGACAATGTGTTAACGGAATAATGCGCATTGTAATTTACACATACACATTTCAAAAATATCTGCCACGACATTCATATTTATTCATACTTACATACTAGTGTTACAATATCATTTTTGTACAAGAATTAAAATTCCATGCCAAAATATTATCATTCTTTCGTCGTCCCTCGATAGCGATGGTATTTGTATCTTGCAGTTGATTGAAAAAAAAAAAAATACAATCGCGTACTGTGCGAATAACGTGAGAGAACGTACGGACTCACCGATTGCAAGATGCATTAAAAACTGCAAAACATAAAGATATCACATTAGACATTTGCAGCATTTTTCTACATCAGTAAACGTTTAAACTTGATTTTTTTTCTCATATTTATGAAACTAGGCACATTGTGTGGAAGAAGTGTTTGATTTGACACAACTCCTTCGTGATTTGAGCGGCGAAAAGAACGATTTCAAATTGTAATAATGATAACTTTGTAAGGTGAGAGGTGGGGGATTGATTTTTGGGCCATTCGTATCTTTCTTAAATCTGGTGGTGAGCCAAATTTGGAAATCTCCATTTTGAGAGTGGTCTTTGTCCCAGTGTTTGTTCGTTATAAAGTTCAGTTGTACAATACTGTTGACGCGCTCGGCAAACGCAGGTCACCACAGTTGTACGATTCATAAGAGAGAGAGAGAAAAAAAGAAACTAGCCTTGTTGTTGAAATGCTTGCTCTGTGATCAATAACGATTTAACTGTTTTGATTGTTTCGACAGTCCACTAAGAAAACCATGGCAAAACGGCGCAGATTCGCAGGTATGCAAATCTAAAGATGAGATACTGAAATGTTTCCTCCTAGCCTTTCCGGAAGATTTTTAATATAGTAGATTGCCGCTAGCGATTCGTGTTAGGTTTTGATCATGATTTATTTTACGGATTATTATTTTCCCATGGTGCACATAATTCTATTGTGGCATTCAATTTTTTACATTCGTAAATGCACTATTCTCAATTTTCATATTTGCATATTATTATTTTTTCATTTGTCTCACCAAATACAACAAGGAACATTATCAATCATTTCAATTGATATTGTCAGCTGTGCTAATTATTAGCAAAGAATATTAAATATTCAAAACAAAAAAAATGGAAATGTCGCAAATTCAGAGTAAATTTCGTTTTTAATAGATGTTTAATGGATTATCACAACTTAAATAAGCCATAAGTGTTCTAAAAATCATGTAAATGAAATAAAAGTATACTTTTTATTCAAAGATAAGAACACACGATAGAAATCAATCCACATGGTGTAATTAATATTAGAAAATGTCATTCAATATATCACACAGTAAATGAGCCATATTAATAGTATCATTAATCTGTGTTTATTACTTGGAACATATACTTTGGAAAATCTTTCAATTCAAATCTAAAAAACTAACAGATATCACATCTGCTAAATTGCGAAATACAATTGAAATTTTTCACTCATTTCTCTTCTGTTACACATATCTACGATAAAAGTATAATATACTCTTGTAAATATATATAATTATTTAAGACTACACGAGATATGCTGTTTGTACGAATTTTATTTCATATTATCAGTCGTTTCACATTATATAACTGTGTATTATAATTATGTATTGGTAGTTTTATATTATCTCACATATTTACATTTGTATATGTTCCAAAAGAGATGTTGCACAATGCCTATTGTTGGCTTTTATATTTTATTTTGTGACTATTATTACAACAGATATGTTTTGCATCTTGTGTATCTTGGCACACAATACGGCTAGAAGAAAAAAAAAAAGAATTTTTCTTCCCATCTTTAATCTTCTTTGTCGATTATGATTTACGACTTACGAAACTGGCTGTTCAATCCATAACGTATATATATCAATTTTCAGACAAGATCAATAGTCGGCGCATTTTTTCTTTTATTTTTTTTTTTTGCGAAAGAGTACGAAACTCACTCAGATTACTCGGATAATTAGCGGAATATGTTATAGAGAAACAAAAGTGAACAACATGGATACTCAGAGATGTACATAGTTCGATACACGAGGAAATTTTTATCAGCACAAACACTGGGGTAAAGGGTACACCGCGCGAGAAGAATGGCATATTTACCAAACTGATTGATCATCGTTCAGCATATTTTCATTACTTTCATACATCGCTCATCGTTTTTCTTTCGTTGTAAATTTTAGCTCTCAAAGTATTGACGACGTAGCTTCCGAGATCATGATAAGTGTCTGCCTTTCTTAATGTGCGCTTCGTGTATCGTTTTTTTAATGGAAATATTCTTGTCGCGTAGTAATAATATAATATTGGCTGGAAAAAAAAAAAATAGAAGGTAACGAAGCGGAATTTGTAGAATGGCGATTACGATGATGTATGTGTACATATTAATGTGTAAAACCTGGAATATAATCGATAGCGTAGACTTAAGTGTTTTGCAACTGTTTTAATTTCTCTGGTAATTTTTTTCTTTCTGCTTCTTTGGAATTTATTATTTGTCTACTTTGGTGTCTTATTAAGTATTGTACGTATGAATTGCATTGTATGTATGTAAATTGCTTATTAGCATAAGGTGGTGGGATTTTGCATACGCTTTATTTATGTAGTTTATTATTGCATGCTGTAAAAACGCGTATTTGCGTTTCGGTACGCATTTAAATACGAAAGACAACGCAAGAAATGTACCTTTTATCGATAAGAAATATTTTCGCGAATGTAGCGTGTTTCTTATTAATAATTGATATCGTGCGTAATCTTTCGTAGATTTCCAATTGTTCTTCCGGATCGATCCGTCAGATCGGACCACAGATGTTTTCAAATTTCGGAACATTCAGCATTTTGTTGCAATCGTTGATCTGATTATTCATGATGGAAGAGCAAGAATGAGATATTATCAGTTGCAGTCACACCAATATACTTTATTCATTCTGCTGATGTGTTTTTTCAGGGTGGTTCAGGAAAAAAATAACTTCGAAAAATAAGCTACGCTAGTGCAGTGTGAGTGCTGGTGATTAATAAAAATGGGATGCGCAAATATTATGAAAGCGAAGCACTGCTACATAGGTATAAAATGGCATACTTTGCTACTCAGAAGACTAATATAAAATGAAAATATTACGGATAATGTTTATTGTAAAAAGGATATCATATTTTATTATGTGGAGAAAATATAAATAATTAAACACGTAGCGACTAAATGGAAAAATCTTGAGATACGGCGTATGTGATGGTTATATACTTTATAGTTATAAATAATTATGCGCAGCATAAGAGTTATCAAAATTGTGTACTGTAAATTTCTCCGAATATTAATTGTTTATAGATTCTATGAACGGTAACGATTTGTAAAATTTTATTTGTTATAAAAAAAAAAGGGAAGAAGAAAGAAAGCGCAAGAACATAACGTTCGAGGAATGTTCTTGCAGCTCGAAGAAATTTGTACAATTAATTAATAACAATTAATTAATTTAATTAATTAATATAATTCCATGACTTCATATTGCATTGCTTTCATTATGATATTGATTCTGATATTAGTTCTGAATCGCACTCAAACTAGTGTTCGACACTTATTTTCTTTTTCTTTCATAATTAGACGTATTGGACCAGAAGTAATATATATATATATACAAAAATATACACATATGCATAATAACATATAAAGTGTATACGGCGTTTTGTTATCGATAACGAACATAATACACCAGATTTGTGAAACAGATACAAGTTCAAATTTGTTAATCGATTTTACGTGCAATAATCAAGGCGTGAGTTTAAACAAGCCAGTTTAGTACACTGTGGTTAACAGAAAATAATTGTGTCCAACGATCGTACTGACTAGGCAAGTATCGCATACCTAACGAAGAGTCAACGCCACTCGTGCGACATCGTCGTGAAATTTTTGCTGCGAAAGATCTCCGAGAAATAAATTGACAAAATTCACATATTCTTGGTAATTTATTCTCGTCTCGATCATTTTACGAAAATTCAATAAGCAAAACGACATTATTTTACGAGTCCATTGGAGCCAAATCATAAAAAATTGAAATTAAAATCACGACAACAAATCATCAAGCAAGCAAAAGTTTCATCACGATTTTGCACAGGTGAGGTTGAGCGGTCTTCTTGTGAGACAGATTTTCATATAGTTCGCTTAGATCTTTATTATCGAATTTAAGAACGAGTCCAAGTTAACAGTTTTAGGGGCATTTAAGAAAATTATGCTTGCAAACACATTTACATTTATATTTAATTATATTCTTATTTATCATAACCGGACAAACCGAGGCGTTCTGTATTGTTGTTACAGTAGCGATATTAGAGCTTCGGAGACGACTTTTTTACATACCTGCATGAACATTTAAAAAAAAAAAAACACTGTGTTAGATATTAATTGTACACTTAAAAGCGTTCTTTGTTCACCCGTGTAATGGATTGGTTGCGTAAAGATATAGGATTACCGTACTGATTTTTTGTAAGAGGCATGTATGTTTAGTACACCGCGCGTACTTATTTACCGTTTTGTATCTAGAAAGCATATTCATAGTTAATAAAAGTTTACTGTTTTACTTGATGCTGAAATATATAATATCACAGAATCATTTCGCTCGTCTGTTAACAGCGGTAAGTAAAACGGTCCTTTGGATAAGCATCGCGATTTATTGGTGGTCATATATTTGCATCAAATTTACATTTTAATTCACCTCGCGATATGCGATATAAATTTTACATCAATTCAGTCCGAGAATTGTACTTTCGGATTGAATGCAACTCATATTTAGCAAGATAGTAGTATTTTTTAGATTATACATTTCAAATTAAACGTTCTTTTTGACAACGACGTTGTGTTTAACAGGATTATATCTAAGTACTAGTGACAAATGATATACTTTCTTTTTTAGAATAGATACCGCATGTGTAATTCTGTTTGAAAAATGTGTATGACAGGTGCAACATTTTTCATACTTCATTTCAAAATTATATATATTTTTCGTTGTATTCAATACAAATATTTAAAATCTAAGAAGTAACATAACATTGCAATGTGATAATGTTTTGCTCGAAAATATATTTTCGCTTCAATCGATATATCGTAGACATAGATTTGTGAGTGTTCGTTACAATAAGACAATGATAAGTTACATTTCAGTATCACAGGTCGAAATTTTCTACACTTTTTTTTTTTTAATTCAGCATTGTTTGCAGGAAACCGAGAATATAGCTACCCAAATCTTCATCCTGATTAGTCCATGAAACGTAAACGCTCTTTTGATCATCTTCGTCTCCTTCCACCTTCACCAGAACGGACTCGACGGATATAGAGCCGTCCGTCAACTGGACCATCCATCCCGACAGCCTCTCTTTCAGCGGCTGCAATAGTTTTAGGGTGGTGGCGTGCGCTGGACCGGGATCTCTTACTTGCACAGTGGACGTAAATCTCACCACATGTTTCGTTATACCCACAGCTTTCGCAACCTGACAAAGCGGAAGAACAATTTATTTGGACGATTGTTATTTCAAGTAAACGGGCGAAATAAAATGAGCGGCATTAGATCCGGAAGAAATTACCTCATCCGCGTCCACGAGGCAGACGCCATCTTCCTTCAGCATCAAAACGCTCTGCAATAGTCTCCGCCTCTTCGGATCCGGCGGCAAGGCCGAGTATCTCTTCGCCTCAGCTTTCAGCAACGCCAGCGAAGCGTCCACGGGGACTTTGGAGGTGGTCGTGATGACGCAGGTTTCGCCGTTCGCGGGATTGTAACAGTTGACGCCGAATTCCTGCTTGATCTTCTCCTTCAAGTATTCCATCTTGGCGTACTCGCCGTGCACTAGCATGACGTTTTTCGGCTCGCAATACTGTATCAGCTGCATTATCCCCTTCGCGTCGGCGTGAGCGGAGAAGGACATGTACTCCACGGCCATCTTCACCTCGACGATCTGCCGATTCTCGAACTCGATTTTCCGCGTACCGTTCAGCACCTTGTGCCCGACGGTGCCCTGCACGCAGAAACCCGGCATGATAACCATGTTGGCCTCGTTAGGCGCCCATTTCTTAAAGATCTGCAGGGAGAGGCCGGCGTGCAACATTCCCGGCGTGGCGAACACCACCATCGCACCTGGATTATCAATATACGTTTTATCGAACGGTTTTATGTGCTTAAAATCAAACATATTCCGTTGTACGAACGTTTTCTTAATTTTCTGATTGGTCCACGTGATAAACATTTTGTAATAATTGTTAGCCTTCTCGGTCAGACCAAGCGCGAAGTAAACTGGCACTTTTAAGTTCATTCTTTCCCAGTATGTTTCCAAGAGTATGCACAGTTCTTGGGCGCGACCGAGAGCGAACACGGGAATCAGCACTTTCCCGCCTCTGTCGATGCACTCGTGCACCTAAAACACGTACACGTCCGTTTAAAATTGTTCAAGACACACGAGCTGAATATCATAACGAATAATAAACTGCAAAACAACGTACTTTTTTAAGAAAGTCTCTCTCTCTGCAACGCTTGGAATCTCTGATTGTGGTCGCGTACGTCGACTCCGATATCAATAAATCTGGCCTGCACTTGTCTATCCATGCGGCGCCTAAATGTCGATCCGGCGTCATATTATAATCCCCCGTATACACGATGGACTGAGAGCCGACACGAATCCAAAACATAGCCGCTCCGAGCACGTGTCCGGCATAGTACGCCTTTATCTCCAATTCAGGATCGACCATGACAGACTGATGTAACGTGACAGCGACAACTTTCTTCATGCAATCCTTTATCATCTGCGATGTGAAGAAATTGCTCTCGCCTTTGCGTTCAACCGCAACTTTTCTCATATCTTCCAGTAAGATTGGCGCAATAGCCTTGGTCGGATGCGTCATGTAAATTGGCCCGGTGTAGCCTACCTGCGGAGAAACACAATACTCAAAAGAATGAAATAAAAGCTCTCCTACAAACGTTTTCACTATTAATCACATGTTACCATCTCTGTGAAATAAGGGAGTGCGCCACAATGATCCAAGTGAAAATGTGAGATTATGACACAGTCGATATAATTAGTTGCAGGTCCTTCTGGAACTATGTACGAAAAGTCTGGAAACCGTCTCTCATCATTGAATCCCATGTGCATGCCACAATCCAGCATGATGTTTTTTCCACCCATCGACACAAGAATACAGCTTCGTCCCACATCCTGTCCTGCTCCAAGTGGAGTGATTTTTATATCCGGCATTTCTGCAAACGTAAGAGAAGTGTAAGAATTATTTACATGCCAATCTTGCATAAATGCAAGGTTTATATTATATTAATAAAATATGTATCTGAATATCATAATTTGTTATAAGTAAGTAAATCTTCATGATTATGAATACAGATACATTGCTTTTAATATATGACAAATACTTAAAGATATTATCAGTGCAAAACATATTAATGTCATCATATTTACTCAATTCAGAGTTGACTAACCTGAATCAACAATATGTTGTCACTTCTTTATAATAATCCTTGCTAGAATATAAATAATGGAAAATATATTAAGAAGTCACACAATTAATGCTGCTAATCACAATTGCTACACCAGTTGAAAACCAACAAATGATATAAATGTATGTATGAAAAATGTATTACATATTCAATAAATATTATTAAAATTTTGTAAATTATTTGTTTCTTTGTAGCCAGCATACGTATACAAGTATTCCGAAAATATAAAAACTGTTTCTTTTTCTAACTTTAAATTCTAACCTAAAGCGTCATACCTCCGCAATACTTCAAACACAGAAGCGTAAATGCGCAGTGCCATCTTTTGGTTACATATTCTATAAATATTAAGCGGGTAATCTTAATTTTTCTACATGTTTATTTTTGCTTCTGGGCTACTTTTGCAATGTTAGAATGCTTGTAAAATATTTAAATAATTAAAACGACTTTTTTAAGATCTTTGCAAAGCTTTTTGTTGTAAAATTCAAAATGCCAATTGTTAAAAAAATTAAAAAACAATGTCTTATTTAGGACGTTTTTTCCAACAATGTCGGAAAATTTAGGCTTTCAAAAAAGGAAGATAAATAAACTTAATCATGAAAATGATGCATCATTTATTGAAACTTAATTGGTAAATTCTATGTAATTTAAATATTATTTCGTGTGTAACTACTTTTTTATTGTACAAACTATGATTAAAAAAGTGCTAAATAAAAGATATAATTCTGTTTTACAATTCTTCGTCCATATCAAAATCTTCCTCTGGAAAATCGCCGACTTTCACATGCAATGGCTTCACGAATCCACCGTATTTTGGTGCACACTCAAAGTATTTTTTACCACCAACACTGTCAACATATAATAAGTATAATTTAATAAAAAGGATATACTGATATCATAAATAGAAAATTAAATCTGTGTACCTTCCATCATTTTTGCCAAGAGGTTCATCATACTTGACACCAACCCACCAGCCTTCTTTAAATTCAGTTTTACCTAATAATATATTTATATAAATTTAGAATATATATTGTATCGAATAAACATGCGATTGCAATGTAAGAGATTCTACTAACCAACAAATAAGATTGTAGCTCTTCGCTTTGGTTGATTTGGAACAAATACTTCACAACGATTTCCAACCTTGCACAAACTAGCTAAGCGTTCTTCTGCTTCCTCTTCTCGTTTCTTTTCCTCCGCCCTTTTCTGCATTTCTTCCTCATTATATTTTCCTAATTTATTCTTTTCTAAGAATGCCTTAACAGTATCTATAATATGATCAAATTATCAAGTAAAAACATTTTACTTATATTATATAACAGAAATGCAAAAGTTTTACCTGTTTTCTTAGCATATTCTTCCTCGGATATCTCAAACTTTTCCACATGGCTTAAATCTTCTGTAGTGCTTGAAAAATTATCGATAACCTGCAATTTTTTTACAGTCACAATTTAGGTCTTTTAAATATTTGAAGTAGCTTCAATAAGATGCAAGCTTTTATGTGTATACATGTATCCTCATGCCATCATCGACTGGATATGATCCCAAAAGACGCTGTCCTTCCTCCAATTTACAAATAAGTTTATCATTCTTGTCGTAGACTTGGACTGTCATTGTAGCTGGATTGCCACCCGTAAGAAGCTCCAATTTACCCTGTAATTTTGCATTGTACATTTTTTTATGTACATAAATGAAAAATTTAAAAGAGGAATGAAAAGTCTCACCTTAAATTCGTCAATAGTTATACCCTTCCGAAATCGACGCTCCACGAGACATGATTCTCGACCAGAGTTTGTAATTGATAAATTTACAAAATCAGGCGTAATTACGCTGTACGAAGTCATTTTTGTTTAAATTAATGTATTAAATTCCAGATATCAACACAGATTAGACGACTTCAAGCACTTGTAAACCTCTTTACGCTGATTATAAATAATGAATTTGAATGCAAGCGTATATTGGGCGATATAAAATAAATTTATATCCAATTGTTTATGTAAATTACAAGATACACAGCATAAGTCGTAACACTTTGACAGACCATTCAAACGTCTCGAAATGTCATCTGATGCTATCAAGTGTCGTGCAAAATGCACGCTGGAATTTGACCAATCAGAAGAAAGAATTTTTTATGTTAAGTTCACAAATGTAGAAGCAGTTTCCAAAAGCAGATCACTCAACCGTTGCGTTTTCTGGACATACTAATCTTCAGTGCGCGTTGATACGGACCTAATAACGCTTTAGTTCACGCCTATCATGTCAATGAGCCATCTCATGGACTCAATAGACATCAGAATCATTGGTGACATGTAGTGGCCAGAAGTTTTTCGTGCAATGTTTAACACGTCATTGATCCAGTAATAAACAATCGGATCGCTGGTGGATGATTTAGTCACCATTTCTTAGGTATAATTATATATTCTGATAATGATGAATTGTGATTTGACGTTAATAGTTTAAAAAAGTCATTCCATTGGGCGTGATTTGTGACCAATGCATAAAATATTGCAATTTCTAGTCCTTATTTTGGGATCTTGATGTGATTAAATCGAAGCAATTTTCCATTTGCTCCAAAAATTGCAAGAGCATTGTTAAATGACAATTTAACAATAGTACGAAATTTATTCTACTGCATTCACCGGACATTACTGTATCGTGAAATTTAATCCTTTGGTGACTAATGTTTTCTTCCATCCTGTTAGTCATCTTGTACAATTTTAAATTGATTTCTTAAATTATTGTATATATGCTCATTTTTCTATGATCTTGCATGATTGAATACTTTTTTTTATGAACCATATAGCTTAGTCAATTTATATGTATATTTAAAAAAAATGGTGTATGATTTTTGTATATCAATTTAGCAATGGCAGCAGGTGGTAGCAGTTTTATAAGTAAGCCAGCCAGAGGGTGGTTGCATCCAGATAATCTAGTAAGCAAGGAAGGGATTACTTATACAGTGAAGGTGTGTTATCTATATTTTATAATTTGTTAAAAATAAAAATTTTATTTTAATTAAAATAAACATTTATAATACACATTTATTATTTTTAACTCTTGAATATGGGAGGCGTCAAACTGATGTTAAGAATTTTCCATCATCTTTTATCTATTTACTATCTTAAATGTTCTATTTATTTTATGATAAATTTTACTCTTATATATCTTATAAGCTCTTATACAATTATAAGCAAAACATCAAGCTTTAACTACAAATAGAGAAAAGATTGGCAAAAAGGAAGGGAGAGCAATAAACATAATGAAAAAAAAATCAGTTAAAAATTGCGATTAATTTTAAGTATTACAATGGAGAAAGAAATTTGCTTATTCAACTTATATTGCATTTATTGATTTTTTCTAATTTTGTATCTTTACAGTACATTGGATGTCTTGAAGTGTACACGTCCATGAAAAGTTTAGATTTTGAAACACGTTCATCTGTAGCTAAGTAAGTTTGTCGAGCATTGTACAGTTTACTATATTGTTATAAGTATTTTTAATTATTTGGTTTAAAAAATTTTTAATTTTATTTTAGGGAATGTATAAATAGAGTCTGTGAAGCTGCTGGATTAAAATCTGCTGACAAAAAGAGAAGGGTACTGTATATATCTTACAGAAAATTATTACATTTACAATTAACTATTTGGATCTGCAATTTTTATCAAGTTTCTTCCAAACAGGTTGATAAAAAAGTGTTGAGGGCTATATCGGACAAACCTCGCATGGAGCATACCACCGCTAGCGTTAATTTAACCATCAGTAGTTGCAGTTTATCCTTAACTAATATATCAACTGGACATATTATTGCCAAACATGACATGCCACGTATATCTTTCGCTTCGGGTGGCGATACGGTAATCATACATGTTTTAATATGTAACATAATTTGTGTAGAACTTTTAACATTGATATTTGTACGTCAGTTGTATTATACTTTTCAAATTATACCTTATTATGTAATAGGAAATATTGGATTTTGTTGCATACGTCGCCAAAAATATGCAAGAATGGCGTGCGTGTTACGTGCTTGAATGCGCAAATGGCTTGGCGCAAGATGTTATATCCACCATTGGACAAGCGTTTGAACTTAGGTTCAAAGAATTCCTCACAAAACCAAGCTCTCTCCAGTAAATTTGATAAAAGATGTATACATTTATCAATCTGGAATTATGATCATTCTGGTTTCTAATCTTGTATCTGCTTGCAGTCCCGTGCTAAACGGCGTCAGAGAAGCAGATAGAGATTATTACAATGATCTCCCAGGGAAAGTACCGCCAGATATTGGCCCGCCGCCAGTACCCCCTTTGCCTAACACAGCATCCACTCTGCCTAATCTGAAGCATCATCAAAATCATGCGTCACGCACTCAAGCACAAAATGTTGCAGCCGATTCGTTTTCCTCTACTGCTGACAGACAATGGGCTGGTAAAATTTTTTTCCGAAAGAACGATAGAACCCATTTGTAGAATATAGTTATTTCTTTTATATATAATTTTTAATCTTTTTTTTTTCACAGAAACTGAGAATCTCATTGATTTAAATTCTGACGGTGCTATAACTTCATCGACGAATTTAAATGCTATGCCTGAGCACAATTACGTTAATGACAGTGTCATAGCTGCAAACAGAGACAATCATCGTGATCCAGCGTCAATGTTTGATGTTTTTGACATGCGTAGGTGTCATTCAGTATGTTACTTTTTTTACTTTTGATATATTTATTCAAAAATTTATCGACTGTTAATCTCGTTTTTTTAAATTTATGGACTTTAATTTTGTAGGCTTCTCTTCTTTGGTTTCTTTATCATGTGCACATTGCAATCAGAAATGTAGGAAGAGATTTATTTTAATATCTCTATTTAATATTTTATATTTAAATCTTGATTTATATTTATTCTTATGATTTATTACTTGTCTGAAATGCTATTTTTACGAATTTTAGAGCCATTCAGTTCTGCCATATCTGACATGAGTAGACTAAGTCCCCGATCGCAAAAGCATCAATTAAAGCAAGAAATTTGGTTTCACGGAAGTGTTAGTCGATCTGAAGCGGAATCCATGCTTACTAGAGTAAGTATATATTTCATTAACAGAGTATGAATGAAATATGAATCATCGAATATATAAATTATCTTTACAAACTGATTTCGCTTTAAGGATGGCGACTTTTTGGTTCGGGAATCACAAGGTTCTCCTGGTCAATACGTTCTGACTGGTATGAATAATGGTACCCCAAAGCATTTATTACTAATCGATCCTGAAGGTGTTGTAAGTATCGCATAAAACAATATATGAGAATCACTAATGCGTATTTCTTTATCACGTGCTTTGATAAAATTTGGATAAATATTACGTGTAAATAAGGGCATAAACTTTTGTTTTACAGGTTCGCACAAAAGATCGTGTATTTGACAGTGTGAGCCATTTAGTGAACCATCACTGCGACAATGTATTGCCAATTATTTCGGCTGACAGTGTTTTAGTATTGCGTTATCCCATCCCCAGGCATACAAATTATTAATTTTATACAACAACATTGAATAATAATTGAGGACATAGACTTGGCAACGATTTTCCAAATAGTATATTTTGAACGTGTGTACATGCGAGAATCTTTGTCAAGTCTGGCTTTTTGTGATATTTTTCAAAATGAGTTTCTTCACGTAAAACGTATGCATTGTTTATCCATAAAAATATGCATTTGTTCATCCTTTCTATTATATATGAATAGATAATTTATGAGAACGTGTCTCTGTGAATCCTTATAAAACGTGCCAACCCAGCCAAAGTAATTTTGTATAATTGCTATTAATTTATCGGAATTAAGTACATTCCAGTTTCTATTAATTTATAAGAATTAAGCCCATATCGATTTTATGTATAAAATATTGCCTGGCCTATGATTCTCAATTTACTTAAGATCTATATATATATACGTAGGTAAATTTTACATAACTAACTATATTTTTTAGAGTATATCATTAAAGTGTATTACGTAATATGCATTTTATATTGAACACATTGTTGCAATCCGGTCTCTCATGCAGAATTAGATGTTGTAATAAATATAATTTCATACAGTATGATATAACGTGTATTATATCTTTCAAGTCTTGATGTTAAAGAAAGTAAGTGAAAAAAAAATGAAAAAAAAAAAGGTATTCAAAACGAGGCTAATATTTTCAATATTTTTCTCAATAAAAAAAAAGTAAAATTAATTTATTATAACTTGTGACATACGAAAAACCAATATATGTCGATGTATAGTACAAGAATAAAAATGGGCACATTTTGTCGCTTCTATCATAGTTATGTGCGGGACCAGTGTCTTACAATTATGTTTTATAATGTTAAGTAACATAATGACATCGGTGTGTAATTAAGTAAAAATTTATTTACAATAACGATCTGCCTTCATTTTGCTTCTCCTATCTAACAAAGTTTCGTGTAAATTTCCTTCTACTTTCGCTTTTGCTAACTCGGAACGATTTGACTTGTTTATCCTTAACTTCTTGTCTTGAAACTTTTGAAACTTTCGTCTGTAAAATTAAATATTTTTTTTTATATTAAAAAATATGCTTCTAATCATTTTATTTGGAGTAAGAAAGATACTAGATAAATAGTAAAATATTCAAGTAAATGTGACAAAATTTGAACTGAAATAGATACTTGTTAATATCACAAATGATATAATTACATAAACTATTGATAAAATTTTATACTCACACATAATTTACTTCAACATCTGCAAGTGAGCCTTGTTCTTCCTTTGGAATATCTCTGCTAGGGCTTTGAGAACGTTGTGTTATACTTCTTATAACAAGAAACTCTGATGTACCAGCTGTTCTATTTTGACAAACTACATCATCATCACTTGTAAGTGACATAAAGCATCCTGTATTATTCAATATTGCAAGTTTCCCATCCTAGAATGCAAAAATGCAAATTCAATCATTTTTTAACAGAAAATTTGTATAAATATGCTTTCACATACAATAATAAATGTTTAATTTATAGAAATAAGCCAGATTGACAACTTTTTTTGTGTATTAATAGATAGCAAGAAGCATTACAATTGCTCTACGTTAAAAACAATTGGTATCATTTTCATATAATAAAATTAGATGTAATACAAAAATTTTAGAAAATAAATCGGAAATTTTCTTGCTTTTAAAAAATAATATAAAAAGATAATTTCAATAAATTAAATATTTGTGTTTATTTTGATATACTTCTGAGAAAAATACCTGAAAAATTGGTTCCCATTGTTCAATTGGGCCTACCGCATCACTCCGTCCAATAACAACACCTTTTTTATCAACACCCAGGTATTTTCCATACCCTGATTTTAAAGCAATCTTAGTCTCGCTTATGGGAAATGACGTTAAGATTTCTTCCGGCGATGGACCATCACCTTCATCATGCGGTATGCCAAGAGTGAATAGTCCATTATCCAAGGCTTTCATATAAGTTTGATTCCCAAATTCTATGGCTACCGTCCCTGTGATTTCATATGTATTCTTTACTTTCCACCATCCTCCTATAAAATAAATTACAGATTATATTGATGATTAAAACATACAATGTGTTTATAAATTTAAAAATAAATTCTAATAAAGAAATAAGTACCATGAGCAATAGTGTCCTTGTCCTCCACATTTGCATCTTGCTCCTTTTCTTGTCTCTTAGCCTTTCGTTTTTTCGGTCTGATGAATAGAAAGATACATAAGTAAAATGTTACATTCTTAAATAAAACAATGTAAATAAATATAGAAAATGTAAAGATACCTTGATTTTTCACCTTTCAGTACTAATTTTCCAGTCTTTACTTTGTCGTATTCTGACATTCTTGCTGTTTTCACTAAATTTGATGTAAGACACCTGACGCTTTCAAGATAACCAACAAAAGAGTCAGCTGTGTTAACTATCGGTTATAACATAGAATGACAACTCATCTTTTTTTAATTGCAATGTGTTCCGAATTCGTTTTTGGACAAAACGAAAAAAGTCCACCAATTATACATCTGGAATAAATTAAATTTTTCTGCGTTCCAAAACTCATCAAATGAACAGTGTAACATTAAAATGTATTTAGGAACACCGAGCAAACGACACGCACGCGAGTGGCGCAAGGTTCGCTCCTTTTCTTTCGGTATTCGACCGAACGTGTTTCGTGCAGAAGAATCCGTTTGAATCCACGATATAGTCTGTTTGGAAACGCTTCAAAATGACCGAAACTCTACAACTACGAGGCACGCTTCGCGGCCACAATGGATGGGTCACGCAAATCGCTACGAATCCGAAATATCCGGACATGATTTTGTCTTCTTCACGTGGTTAGTATTCGGCTTCGAAACGCCGCTTCTCCTTCCCGCATTTTTAATTTCTCATGTTGCACGGATTTTTCTTATCTACTTTAACTTGATAATATAATTTGCTATGATTTACCATGATTTTATCATGTTGCGAAGCGGAATATAGCTAATGTGTACCGCGTGACTTTAACTTTGTTCGCATCAAGGCATTCCATCTGTTCATTATAATTTGTTTTCCTGCTTATGATTTAAGAGTTAAAACTTTAAAAATTATAACAGCATATTATCGATGTTTTTTCATTGTAGACAAGACTCTAATTGTGTGGAAATTGACACGTGACGAGGCCAACTATGGTATTCCGCAGAAGCGTCTTTATGGTCATTCTCATTTCATAAGCGACGTGGTTCTTTCGTCCGATGGAAACTACGCGCTGTCCGGTTCTTGGGACAAGACCCTGCGCCTTTGGGATCTGGCAGCAGGTAGAACAACAAGAAGATTCGAAGACCATACCAAGGTGTGACCTCGCTCTTCCACGTACTTCCAATGCGCTCCTTCGTAAAGTTTTCTTACTCTGTAATAAGAATATGAAGAAGGTTGCAAAGTACTACTTTGCAACGATGATCTTTCATTCTCGTTACAAAGAAAGAAATAGTCTTGCCGAAAATGTACTGAAGCTTTTTTTTTATTTTTTTTTTATATTGACAAATAGAAGAGGTAGGCACTGATTGAATCAGTGACGTAAGTATTCCTGTGATATTTACAGGTTGGGATGAGAATATATAAATGGCTTTGTTAATTCATTATGAGTTTTGCTTTCGTCAATATAGGATGTTTTGAGCGTCGCTTTCTCCGTGGACAATCGTCAAATCGTTTCTGGTTCGCGAGACAAGACCATTAAGCTGTGGAATACATTGGCCGAATGTAAATACACCATCCAAGATGATGGACATACAGATTGGGTCAGCTGCGTGCGCTTCTCTCCCAATCACGCAAATCCCATTATTGTTTCTGCGGGCTGGGATCGTGTTGTCAAGGTAAAAAGCCTGCATCTAAAGAAATTCATTAACATGAGACAATATTTTTATAGAAATGATGTAAAACTACAAAGCATGATATATCCATGAGTGCTTTCGGATATGGGACTGATGTACTATTCGTATTATACGTATGATTGCACAATAAAAGAATGTATTAACAATTCACGCGTTTTACAGGTCTGGAACTTGACAAACTGCAGACTGAAGATCAACCACAGTGGCCACACTGGATACTTGAACACTGTCACAGTATCGCCCGATGGCTCGCTCTGCGCATCCGGCGGCAAAGTACGTATTTCTCCAGCTCGTCTACTTAAAACGCATCAATCGCATAAACTTGATTGTTTAAATCAGTCGAAATTAAACATTTATATTATTTTTATCGCCAGGACTGCAAAGCCATGTTGTGGGACTTGAACGACGGCAAGCATCTTCACACTTTAGATCACAATGACATTATCACGGCATTGTGCTTCAGTCCTAACCGCTACTGGCTCTGCGCCGCCTTCGGGCCATGGATCAAGATCTGGGATCTTGAGACCAAAGAGATGGTCGAGGAACTGAAACCAGAGGTTGTGTCCGCGACCAGTAAAGCGGAGCCGCCCCTGTGTCTGTCTCTCGCTTGGTCTACTGACGGACAGACGCTGTTCGCTGGGTATTCCGACAATACCATCCGCGTTTGGCAAGTGTCTGTGTCCAGCCGATAAAATGTAATTTTTGTATAATAAAAATGTAATCAAAATTTTCAACGCTATTTTATATTTATACATATCTTAAGCAACATACATTTATAATGTATAAAATTTTACAAGACAGTGGACGTACAAATCTCCACTGTCGTCTACATCGACGACCTATTTGTCTTTTGCTTCCTTTTTATTAATATTTTGCTCTAATTTCTGGAATTCCTTTTCAGTGATTTTATCCGCTTCATCCTCCACTTGAATAACTCCAAGTACTTCGGGTATATAAAATTGCATCATATTTTGCACACCATTCCTTAGTGTTACCACTGAGCTCGGACAATTGGTACAGGAACCTTGCATTTTCAGTTTTACGACACCTTCCTCAAATCCCTATTGCAATCGTAAGATTATTTATTTATTATGTTTGAAAAAAATGCAATTTTTTTTATCTTTAAGGTTTGAAATACTTTACCATGAATACAATGTCCCCACCATCTTCTTGTACTGTGGGGCGTATTCGTGTATCCAATAATTCTTTTATCATCTGAACAATCTCATCATCCTCTGCATTAATTTCTAGTAAAATATAAATAGAATATAATCAGTCTTCTATTTTCTTTTGAATATTTTATAAAATTAAGTTAATTAATATGAACTGTTACGTGTATCTGCAGCAGGTTGAGAGGTTTCATCCATGATTGGTAACCCACTCGCGAAGAAATCCATGATGTTAGCGAATACCTCAGGTTTCAACAACTTCCATTCCACATCCTCGTCAAGTTTTGTAATTGTGATGAAATCGGGTCCAAAAAATACTGCTTTCACTCCTTCTACGCGAAATAACATTTTTGCAAGTGGAGAGCAGAAGGCATCTTTAGCGCTTGGAAAATCTTTTGTGCGTCCTTCTCCCAATACAGGTACTCCGGGAATAAATTTCAAACTATTTGGATTTGGTGTATCTTGTGTTTGAATAAACATGTTGCGCCTTTGCTGGTTCGATATAATAGGCCTATGTTTGGTAGATAATACACAAATTGGTGTACTGCTACTATGCAAGTGCCTGACACCAGTAGAGAAAGCCCTGAAAATTTTTATTTATATATATAATTAATTTACACAAAAAATATCTGTATAGTTCAATGTGTATAAAATTGATCGTGTATACTATTCATATGAAAAAAAAGATTATAAGCCTTACGTTGAATGTTCTTGTGCTAATAACATTCTGTTAGCAGCAGGTACACAACGCTTTACATTATTTGATGTCCTGAAAAACGTAACATGTTCTTCAAATTATATCAGTGAAAATATAATAGAGAAAACTTTTTAGATAGATTACTTACTGCATGCATTGCTCACTGGTTAAAGTTCTATATAATGCCGGCCGGTTTGAATGAATTGATTTAAAGATCTTATCCATGGCTGTGTTTTGACGTCTTAAATTGTTAAAAATCTCTTTTCTCTTTGACAGGACATATTGTCATTAAATGACATGCGCGAGAAGATCTTATACATAACCTTCTCGAGTTCTAAATACGGATTTTATAAAGATGGCAGCACACAATTTGAAAATGTGAAGCATATTATGCATATTTTCAACGTGAAAAAAACAAACTGTACTTATCACTTATTAGAACCGTCTACTAATTTGGTATTTTTTAAGTTTTGAAAAAAAGGAAATATTAAATATAAGAAAATTAATAGTAGATTAGACACTAAAAATATAGTTGTGTGGAAATTTTGTCAGCAATGAAATCATTTATTAGAATTACAAAAAAACGTCTTTATTTCAACTCATGTTCATATTTATATACATTCATAGATGGTTGGAAGTTGATAATTTAAGATCTTGGACGTTCTTTCTTCTCTTTGTAAAGAGCGAGCAGAGAAACGTTCGCCACCTTCACCACTTTAAAGCGCACTCCAGGAATATCACCGACGGCATGACCTTTACGACCGAAACCTGCCACTAGAACTTCGTCATTTTCCTCGATGTTGTTGAGGCAACCATCCCTCGGTACGAAGGCTGTGATCTTCTTGCCATTCTTAATAAGTTGTACCCTGACACACTTACGAATGGCAGAGTTTGGTTGCTTAGCTTCTACTCCCCTATTGAACAAAACATTGATAATGATAAAATAGGTATTGATAATAATATTGATAAAATATTAACGTGAACAAACTCGATATATAAGATTTATAAATAATCATAAATGTTATTACATACACTTTTTCTAGAACAATGCCTTTAGCATGGGAAGCTCCACCAAAGGGATTAGCCTTCCATCTGGTTCCAAGATGCGCCTTTTTGTAGTCCTTATCGTTCCATCGCTGCTCCCGTCTGTGATTCACATGTTTACGCGCCGTGCGAAGACCTCTGGGCTTGCCTGTAAAGCAGAGACGGTAAGTAACTTGGTTATGTTCAACTAGTCACATATTTGTGCGAATATATTTCGTTCAACATTTTTCGATAACATTTTGACACAGAAAATATTGCGCCAAACACTTTGACAAATCCTTAGACAAAATTTTTGATTTTCTATCATTATTATTTTAAATAATATAAAAATACTGAAAGAGCACATGACATACCCATGTTGCCTGCTATATGTTACAACCGGAAAAACGCGATCATCCATGAGCGGAAGTGCAAATCGTAATGCCTATTGCACATAGAACGCGATGGCCAATCAGAGTCCTTCGCTTTTTTAGAAATAATAATGAATTGTATAGCGACAACATTTTTGTCCCTAGAAATTAAGTTTTGCTATTGGACATCGAATGTCGCGCATTGAAAAATGGAGGCGATGTAAATTCTCCGTTAGTGTAAAAAATATAAACGATATGCCTAACCTTTCAATAAACATGGCTATCGCCGCAACACGTTTAGTGAACAAACGCCATTTTTGCGAGTGAATTCCGAAAACGCTGAGTGATCATTTTACGCTCAGAACGTTCAATCAACTGTTGCCCAATTGTTTGTATATCTTCAACACAAATTTATTTTCCATATTCAAATTTGTTTTACCATTATTATGGGAGAACAAGCAAATGAGTCTATACTGATTACAGTTCTGGAAGATGCAGGTATCTTTCTTTTATATCTTTATACTTTAAAATAATGTACACTTTTCGTACACTATGAAATGTTTTAATTTAATTTGTATAATAATATTGAAGTAGAGAATTTATTATGTTTAAACTAGGTATATATATATATATATAACTGTAGCATTAATCACATTAGAATTTTCTGACCATAAGATAACATTGTCATAATATTTATAGAACAGAACAATTTCACGTGGACCAAAAAGGCAACAAAGCTCTTTCTTGAGGCTTACTTGGAAAGGAAGGAAAAATTTCGTAATCCAGAAGTGAAGAAAAGGTTGTTATGGTCGGAAATTGCGCAAATTTTAAAAGGACATGGATATATAAACATAGACGAGGACATATTGGACCGAAAGATGAGGAACATGAAGAGGACATACAAAACAATCAGAGAAAATAGTAGGAAAAGCGCTACAGGACGTGTGTCTTGGGAATATTATAAGACATTCCAAGAAATTTTTTCTGATCTTGATAGCACCAAGTTTTCGCCTGAGAGTAAAAACAAATTATTTTACACTCCTAATAAGAAACAAATAGAAATAGAAGAAAGAAAGATGGACTTAATTAATCAAGTAAAGGAGACTCTAGAAGAAAGCAATAGAATACAGCAAGAGAGGAATGATTTAATAAGACAGTTAATTTTATCACAATTTCATTCACCAGATAAATAAAAACCTTACCTTTATCCTTGATTTTCTCATTTTATTTCTAGAATTGTTTTAGGAAATTATGACTTAGTGCAGAATCTTAAGTTATAACTTGTATATCCTGTCTAACTTACAGACATTATACGTTAATTATAATTATATACTTGTATACATTTTTAGAAATGACACGTTTGATTAAATAAAGATTAAGATTTAATTATATGAATACATATATTATGTCCTTTCTATCTGATTAAACATTTCTGTCATTCATGTTCACACATGGATCAATATCTTGTGAAATGAAATGAAAACAGACCTATTATTATTCAATAATGTGCGACATCTTTAATATGATAAATAATTTCATATGCTTTGATAATACCTTGATTGCTATCACAAGTCTGTTCTGTGTAACAGTACTGTATTTTCCAGTATTTTCCGACGAGACAATGGCCTAGTTTACACCGATTGTTTAGTACGCGTACCAAGTACTAAATCTGCTTCTTCGATAGGTATAAATTGTTTAGTGTAACATCTACACCAATCAAAGAAGCAGATTTAATACTTGGTACGCGTACTAAACAATCGGTGTAAACTAAGCCAATTACAAGTAAGCATTAGAGTGAGAAAGAAGAGAGAAAAGTACAGAAAGTGCAATACATATGTGCAGTAGTGCAGTATTCCCTCCCTCAGCTGCTTACCGCTGCGTCTTAAATCTGGCGTCACTGGCGTAGCTACGTACTCGCGATGTGCTCGCGAAGTGCGGCGCTTTGGAATCTGTCCGGTTTTTGAAGAAATATGGCGGATGTGGAGGTAAGCGAGTCACGTGTAACGAGAGAAAATATTACATTATCGTTGCCATTACGTATTATAATTAGTATATTCTGTTACAGCTAACAAAAGCTTTGAAGGATCTACCAAATCGAATTCAGACCGCTAGCAAAAAGGAGCGGCGTGAGATTCTACAGAATGTCGTCAACGTGTTGTCAAATCCCGGTAAGAAATCGTAGAAAAACGTATTATTTTTTTCGATAAGAGATAAATGTTCTTCACGTTTCAAAACAATATGAAGACAAGAAGAAGTATCTCGTTCGAATGCTGCTATTTTGCGTTATGATTTACATATGGCATTGACAAAATGGCACACGTTGGACATTCAAGTATACTTCTTTACAATATTGTTTTGTAATTGTATTGTTGGAGTAGCTTTTCCAGCGTCAATTTATTGTAATTAAAATCTGACCAGTTCATAAAAGACGCAAAAGAGTATTATTACATGTTAATTTGGTTGATATTTGTTAAATAACGATATTATGTGAGTGAGCTCAAAGTCTTACTTTGAAAACACTTATGTTAGAAATGAAAGCGTTAACAATGGAAAACAGCATAATTTGAATGAATCTAGAGACATATGACAGTCTATAGAATCATATATTTTGATACACATATATGAATACATGTGTATGAATATGCATAAAGGAAACATTCTAGCTGGAGTAAATTATTCATTGCGAATATTTTTAATTCACTTTCTTTGATATTTGTAATGTATATTATATGATTTTTACAAAAGACATTTCAAGTTTATATTTCTTTCATTTTGATCATATAACCGTATAATTTGATAATGCCAATGAAAAGTAATTGGAGCAATAATTAACTGGACTTGTGATAATAATTTTTGATTTGTAGAAATGATTATAATTTAAACAGAATTAAATATGTTTATATAAAGTTTCTCAATTGTCAAATATGTTTGTGCATGAAGCAGTGATGCTATATTTATCTCTAAAAAGATTTACGTTCAGTTGTCTGAAAGTTAAAGTCTTTTTGTCAAAAATACATGTTATTTATTTTGTTGTCAAGTGTTGGAATCTTATTATAATATATTTTAGGTCGATAGTATATTCACATGTAAGATTTATGAATTATTGCAGGCATTAATGAGAAAATTGTTAATGGCATATGTAAGGTGGTATCAATCACCTTACATAGATACAAGGACAGTACTTCTCAGTCCTACGTGAAAAATCTAATTGTGGAATTACTTAAAAAACAACCGGAGGCTACCATCAAATATATGACAACTGTAATTTCAGAGCAAGCCACTTGGCATAAGAATGTAGTTGCAACGTAAGTCATATATTGGGAATTAATTTTCCTCCATTTACACATAATGATATATAATGATGATCTTTATGCTTTTTTTCAGGTTAAATACCGCTCGAACTGCATATATTGCACTGCAATGGTCGACTTTAGTCATTCTTCATACATATACCGAGATGTGGGAGATTACTGTTTTATTACGACTTATTGAGGCACAGGCAAATTTATCTGCTGCAGCTTTAGCGTCCACAGATAAGAAACTCTCGGAGAAAGTGTATACATTACTCGCACGCGAATGGACAACTATTAAGGACGTATATGGTATAGAACTTTTTTATGTGGCTAATTTAACAAAATTGGAGATCGGCAATGGCGTGATTATCCTAGCCAGCTTGCTTACAAAATATTTAGTCGCCATGAAAAGGGACGATTTAGTGGAACACTGCTTAAAGGTAAGCATGCAAATAATATCAATTTAAATCAATCCTTTTTCTGAACAGTGTATCGTTATGTGTATCGCTAAATAAATTTTTCAGAAAAACATGATAGACGTTTTTATAAAAGTGGCGATCAGTTGTAAGAAGAAACCGGATTTATATGTAGTCGATGTGGCTGCGCCGCTTCTTCGGAGATTAAGTCACGAAGAATTTAAGACCCAGTTGCTTCCTGCTTTGCAAAAAGCTATGCTGCGAAACCCGGAGATCATAATCGAATCGGTTGGTCACATTCTGAATGGATTAAGTCTCGACTTGAGTCAATATTGTCAGGAGATCAGCAAAGGATTATTCGCCAATTTGCATTCTAAGGAGGATCTAGTTCGCGACGAAGCGGTCGCGGCTTGCCGCAAACTCGCTATGCAATGCTCCGACACGACGGCTTTGGAAACATTGCTGTCGTCCGTGTTCGCGGTGTTTCACGGATCCGAGGGCAAGCTCACGGTCGTGATTCACAAGATCTCCGTGCTGCAAGGCGCCGGCAATCTCAGTTACAACGTGGCGTCGGGCAGCAGCGTGCAGAAACTGGCGGAAACAGCCTGCGAGCATTTTGTCAAAGTGCTCGAGACGGAGGTCCACGAGAAAACGTTGATACACGCCCTCGAAATGATGACGCTGTGGTCGAAAAAGTTGAACAGCGTGCCGAAACTCGTGGTGGACGCTTTCAAGAAGGGCATGGCGGCGAAGACGTCCACCGCCGCGGTGCGCACCGCTTATATCAAATTGTTCTTCTCGATCTCCGCCACTTCCTACTCGGGAGTGATAGCGCCGATCCTCGCGCAAGCGATAACCCGAGCTACGCAGCAGTGCGCGCAGCCGACGGCGGTGACCGAGGGCCTGGTCGCCTCGTATCTGCTGCTGAAATTCATAATAGCCGATCAGGTCGAGAACGACAAGCAGAGTGTGCTTTGGAACGCGATCGACGAACAGATATTCTTCTCGGAGAAGTTCCTGTCGACGTGCGGCGACGACATCCTGTACCACCTCATGCTACTCTGCGAACGGCTCATTATCGAGTTTTCCGATCGACTGAACGAGAAGGCTCTGACCGGCATTCACCGCGCGATTGTTTCGTGCGCCACCGCTCCGAACTCGACGACGAGGCAACGGTGCTCTCCGTTGATCAAGAAGATTCTGACGAATCTCAGCAGCTATGCACCAGCGCAGGCTCTGTTAACGGAGTTCAACAGGTTCTTGGAAAACGTCAAGATCAAATCGGAATCGGACAAGGAAACCAGGGAGGAATCTTCGATGGGAGAGATCACCGGCAGGTGTCTCGCCGACGGATTATTCGCCATTTGCTCGGGTTCATTCTTGTTCGAGGCGGCCAATTATCAGATAACCAGAGACGCTCTACTTCCATCTCATCATCCGGCGCTGATCAAAGCTGTGCCGAATCTGTGGTTCAAAATCGCTAAAAATTACAACCTCGTACCGAAGGATTTCCTACGCAGTTACAGCAACGAGGTGAAGAAGATGCTGATCCAAAATTACAAGCCGACGCCGAATTACGAAAACGCGCTTATAAGGATTATGTCGCTCGCGCCGGACGCCTTCTTGCCCGCGCTGGTGTCGAACGTCACGAGTAAACTGGACGATCCGGAGATTTTGAGAGTTACCAAGGACGAGTATTTTACGTATCTCACACCCGAAGGCGAGCTTTACGACAAGAGCGTGCTGCCCGTCAACGACGAGAACGATATTCTCAATTCTATGAACATGAAGAGAGAAAGCAAGGTCTACTCGTTCAAGGAGCAGCAGGAGGAGCTCCAACTGAGGCGCGAGTTGTACGAGAAGCGGAAGCGGGAGGGCAAGATAAAGGAGCCAAAGTTGACGCCCAAACAGGAGGAGACGCTGAAGGCGCAGATCGCGAAGGAGAACGGCATTCGCAAGAGATTGACCGAGCTGAAGGCCAAGATAGACAACACCGTGTCTCTAACGACGTGCTCGATACGCGGCAATCGGCAGGAGCTGTCCCTGTACTTGAAGGACCTTCTGCCGCCGATTTTGAAGAACCTGGGCTCTCCGCTGGCGGCTCCCGAGATGTCGGAACTTTATGTGGCCCTTCGCCGAACGGTGACGATAGACAACAGCGCGATCCTCGGCGACCTCATCGCTCACGTAACTCTACGGCAGCTGCAGCCGCAATGCGACCTGGATCCAGCCTGGGAAGAAGAGAACCTCGACGTGGCGGTGAAAAGGACATTGAACCTCATTTACGCGGTGACAATCAAGAAGAAGGAGCTGTTCACGGCGCCCGCGTTCTGTTACGTTTTCCCTTTCATAAGGAAAACCCTGCTGTCGTACAAGGACGACGGCATGATCGTGCAGGGACTGCAATTGATTCAGGAGCACGCGAAGCAGAGGAGCGGCACCAACGACCTGAAGGACATCAGGCACCCCAGACTCCTGCCGCGCAAGCAGATGTTCGATTTGCTCATCGAGCTTATGGAGACTACGACTGGCCGCGTGCAGTCGCACGCGGTGGCGACGCTGCTGGATGTCGCGCAGTCGGGCAGCGGCCAGCCGGGCACCGCGATCGCCACCAGCGAGGACATCGACTCGTTGATCGGCGCGCTGCAAAATTCGCTGTCGACCGTGCGCGATGCGGCGCTCAGAGGGCTGACGGTGATACGTCAGGCCTTCCCGTCGCAAAAGGAAGACCAGGATCAGCTCGACAGGCTCACCAGACGAGTGTGGATCGCGCGGTTCGACGTGGACGACGAGAACAAGATCCTCGCCAACGAGCTGTGGAACTCGGCTGACTTTAGCGCGCAGGCGGAGATCCTCTGCGAGGAACTCATCCAGGACATCGCTCATCCGGTCGAACCGGTGCAGCAAGCGGCCGCTCACGCGCTGGCGCAAAGCTTGGCCAGCGTGCCGCACTTAACGCCGTCCGTGCTGGACAATTTGTTGCAGCTCTATCAGGAGAAACTCGCCATGATCCCGCCGAAGCTGAACGACTTCGGCCGCGTGATCGAGCAGCCGATCGACACGTGGGGTCCGCGGCGCGGCGTCGCGCTCGCCCTGGCGCAGATAGCGCCGTTCCTCACCGCCGACACGATACACCGGCTCATCCAGTTCTTCGTTTTGACCGGGCTGGGCGACAGGAATCAATCGGTGCGCACCGAGATGCTGACGGCGGCCGTCGCGGCGGTCGATCTGCACGGCAGCGCGAACATCGCCTCGCTTCTGCCGGTCTTCGAGGACTTTATGGACAAGGCGCCGAAGATCGGCAGCTTCGATTCCATCAAACAGTCGGTGGTGATACTGATGGGATCGCTGGCGAGGCATCTGGACAAAAACGATCCGCGGATCAAGCCGATCGTGATGCGCCTCATCGCGGCGCTCTCCACGCCGTCGCAACAGGTGCAGGAGGCGGTGGCCAATTGTCTGCCGCATCTGACGGATTCTATCAAGGAGGACGCGCCGAAAATCGTGGACAATCTTATGGACCAGTTGCTCAAATCGGACAAGTACGGCGAGCGCAAGGGCGCGGCCTACGGACTCGCGGGTCTCATCAAAGGTATGGGAATTCTCGCCTTGAAGCAGCTGGATATTATGAGCAAACTGACGAACGCTATCCAGGACAAGAAGAATTACAGGCACCGCGAAGGAGCGTTGTTCGCCTTCGAGATGCTGTGCACGATGCTCGGCAGGCTGTTCGAGCCTTACATCGTTCACGTTTTACCGCATTTGTTGCTGTGCTTCGGCGACTCGAGTCAGTACGTGAGAACCGCTACTGATGACACTGCCAGAGTAGTTATGAGTAAACTTTCCGCCCATGGCGTTAAACTGGTACTGCCGAGTCTGCTGGCAGCTCTCGAAGAAGATTCCTGGAGAACGAAAACAGGTAAATTCGTAACATATTGCGTTAATTCGAATAAATTGAAGCAATTTTTTTATTTATTTTCTATTAAAGATATTTTTTGCAGGAGATTATATCATGAGAAAATATTTTTAATTCAGATGACAAATCTATCAATTTTATGTGAGACAATGTTATTTGTATCAAATAAGTGAAAAATTGATTTTAAATTATTACTTTTTTGTGTGGTTTTTAAAAACGAAATTTTATTTGTATTAGAACAGGCTAAAAAATTCGTTTTTTATTCTCCAGAGAACAATCTCAAGTAATTAAATTTTAATTATTTTTAAAATCAGGTGTTAAATTTCATTAATCTTCCACGTGCTATCTTTGTGTTTCAATATGTAAAATTCAATACATGTAATGGTTACTTACTTAAATTTAAAATTTAAAGCACCGAATTAAAGTTTAAGACTACAAAAAATCATGCTTTATAGAATTATAATATTATAAAATTTTTTGTAGCCTCAAACTTTAACTCGATGCTTTAAATTTTAAATTTTAAATGTATTGAATTTTGAAACACAAAGATAGCACGTGGAAGATTAATAAAATTTAATACTAGATTTTTGATTTATTTATTATCATATTATTTTATAATATTATTATTCATGTTTAATTAATTTTAGAATCTAAAAAATCTATGTTAATAATAAAACGCCTGAATATTAATTTAAAACTTACACTTCATATATTTTATTTTCACAGGCTCGGTCGAGTTACTCGGCGCAATGGCGTACTGTGCGCCGAAACAATTAAGTAGCTGTTTGCCGAGCATTGTTCCTAAGCTGATAGAGGTGCTTAGCGATTCCCACACGAAAGTACAAGAAGCTGGCGCGGAGGCGCTCAAAGTTATCGGAAGCGTTATTCGCAATCCGGAGATTCAAGCCATTGTGCCGGTATTGCTGAAAGCTCTGCAAGATCCGTCACACAAAACTGCCACTTGCCTGCAAACATTGCTGGACACGCAATTCGTGCATTTCATCGACGCTCCCTCACTGGCTTTAATCATGCCTGTCGTGCAACGCGCTTTTCTCGACCGCTCGACGGAGACGAGAAAGATGGCCGCGCAGATCATCGGCAACATGTACTCGCTAACGGATCAAAAGGATCTGACTCCTTATCTACCGACAATCATTCCAGGTTTGAAGACCAGCTTGCTCGATCCCGTGCCAGAAGTGCGCAGCGTGTCGGCACGAGCGCTGGGCGCGATGGTACGCGGAATGGGCGAATCGAGTTTTGAAGATCTGCTGCCCTGGCTGATGCAGACGCTCACCTCCGAGACCAGCAGCGTCGACCGATCCGGCGCCGCTCAGGGTCTGTCCGAGGTGGTGCGCGGACTCGGCGTCGAAAAGCTGCACAAGCTCATGCCCGAGATCATCAGCACCGCCGAGAGAACCGACATCGCTCCCCACGTGAAGGACGGCTACATCATGATGTTCATATACATGCCGAGCGCGTTCACCACGGAGTTCACGCCGTACATCGGGCAGATCATCAATCCGATTCTGAAGGCGTTGGCCGACGAGAACGAGTACGTGCGGGAGACCGCGCTGCGAGCGGGACAACGTATCGTCACACTTTACGCTGACTCGGCGATAATGTTGCTGCTGCCGGAGCTGGAGAAGGGTCTCTTCGACGACAACTGGCGCATACGATATTCGTCCGTGCAACTGCTCGGCGATCTGCTGTACAGAATCTCCGGCGTGTCGGGCAAGATGTCGACCGAAACGGCCAGCGAGGACGATAATTTCGGCACGGAACAGTCGCATTACGCCATCATCAACGCTCTAGGCGCCGAGAGACGAAACCGCGTTCTAGCCGGTCTTTACATGGGTCGGTCGGACGTAGCACTGATGGTACGCCAGGCTGCTCTTCACGTCTGGAAAGTAGTGGTGACGAATACGCCAAGAACACTGCGAGAAATATTGCCGACTCTGTTCACCCTTCTGTTGGGATGCCTGGCGAGTACGAGTTATGACAAGAGGCAGGTGGCCGCGCGAACGCTTGGCGATCTCGTTCGAAAATTGGGCGAGCGAGTGTTGCCGGAAATTATACCGATTTTGGAGAAGGGTCTGCAGAGCGATCAGGCCGATCAGCGCCAAGGCGTGTGCATAGGCCTGTCAGAAATCATGGCCAGCACCAACAAAGACATGGTGCTGACCTTCGTTATTAGCCTCGTGCCAACAGTGAGGTGAGTACAATGCTGGATAGATCGATAGCAAATTTCACGAATTTTTGCTGGATTCGGCAAAAAGCTCCGGACGCTTAGACGAAGAGATCAATCTTGTTTTCAGGAAAGCGCTCTGCGATCCGCTGCCGGAAGTGCGACAAGCCGCGGCCAAGACCTTCGACGGTTTGCACTCGACGGTGGGCGTTCGCGCGCTCGACGACATACTGCCAGCGATGTTGACGCAGCTGAACTCGCCGGACCCGGCCGAGGCGGAAAACACCCTGGACGGTTTGCGCCAAGTAATGGCGATCAAGTCGCGCGTCGTACTGCCGTATCTAGTCCCGCAACTGGCCTCGCCGCCAGTTAACACGAAAGCACTGTCGATACTGGCCAGCGTGGCGGGCGAAGCGCTGACGAGGTTTCTGCACAGAATTCTTCCAGCGTTGCTCACTGCTCTTTCCAGCGCGCAAGGAACGTCGAACGAGCTGCAGGAATTAGAGTACTGCCAGGCCGTCGTTCTTTCCGTCACCGACGAAGTAGGCGTCAGGACTGTGATGGATCAACTGATGGAGGCCACAAGAGCGGAGGACCTCTCGAAGCGGCGCAGCGCCGCGACGTTGCTCTGCGCGTTCTGCCGCGACACGCGCGCCGATTATAGCCAGTACGTGCCGCAACTCCTGCGCGGTCTCATTCACCTATTCACCGACGAGGACAGAGATGTGTTGCAAATGAGCTGGGAAGCGCTCACCGCGGTGACCAAGGTGAGCGAACTGCGACGGGAATAATTATTGCGAGAGCATTGCGCGAAATTAATAAGTCGCTTCTCGTTTCTCGCAGACTCTGTCGTCCGAGCAGCAGATTGCGCACGTGCAGGACATCAGGCAGGCCGTACGATTCGCCGTGTCTGACTTAAAAGGTCAGGACCTGTTGCCCGGATTCTGTCTTCCCAAAGGAATCACGCCGATTCTGCCGATCTTCAGAGAAGCTATACTAAACGGCTTACCGGACGCGAAAGAGCACGCGGCTCAAGGCCTGGGCGAGGTCATCAGATTGTCCAGCGCGGCTGCGTTGCAGCCAAGTGTCGTGCACATTACCGGTCCACTTATTCGGATCTTAGGCGACCGTTTCAACTGGAGCGTCAAAGCGGCTGTGCTCGAGACACTTGCGATATTACTCGGAAAGGTATTCAACAGTTTACATGTACAATTTCATCATATATGCTGTATAAAATGATATCATTTAATTCAATCGTATCTAAGCGATATTCCGAGGAGCGAGCAACTTGAAAAGAGAAGATTTTGTGGCTCGAAATTTTGTACGCATAATAGTAGAGTGCATTTTTTATTAGTGTATCTCGCTCGACAGGTTGGCGTTATGCTGAAACAATTCTTACCGCAATTGCAAACCACTTTCTTGAGGGCGTTGAACGACAGCAATCGGCAGGTCAGGTTGAAGGCAGCTTACGCTCTCAGTAACCTGATTGTCATCCACACTCGCGTCGATCCTTTATTCACGGAACTTCACACTGGTATCAAAACGGGGGATGATCCTGCGATAAGGTAATCCCGATATTATTGACACTGGGACACTTTTGGGAACCAGAGAATTCTAACATTGATATTTACTTTCGTGAAGGGAAACGATGCTGCAAGCTCTGAGAGGCGTGCTGACCCCGGCTGGTGATAAAATGACAGATCCGATGAAGAAACAAGTTTTCGCAACGCTCAGCAGCATGCTTAGCCATCCGGAAGATGTTACGAGAAACGCCGTTGCTGGTTGCTTCGGCGCTCTAATGCGGTGGTTGAATCCAGATCAATTAGCGATCGCACTTAACGATCACCTCTTGTGTGAGTCTACAAAAAATACAGTATGCCATTCAAGTTTATACTTGCAGAAATTCTTTACTCGTGTGTTACTTCGATTAGGTAACGATGTTAACGCTGAGTGGATGCTCAGACATGGACGTTCAGCTGCACTGTTCGTGGTGTTGAAGGAATCGCCCATCACGGTGTACAATCCCAAAGACAAGGACCGCGTCTGCACGGTGATACTGTCGTATCTAGCCGCAGACAGGGTTCAGATAGTCATGAACGGTGTGCGAGCGTGCGGTTACCTATTTCAGTATCTCATGAACGAGTCGCAATCTATACCGCAGCAGATTCTGTCACCTTTTGTGAGGGTAAGCGTTTGGTATTTAAAGAAATATAATTTCCACAATAGATATCCGTTCGAGAATTGATGGGAGTGCAAACAAATATGCAACACGGAATATATATATTAAGGAGAAACGCGTAATGATATTTAAACTATAACGTCGATAACCTCAATATTCGAATTTCAGTCGATGAATAATAACAGCAATGACGTGAAGCAGCTGCTCGCCCGCGTTTGCATCCATCTTGCGCGCAACATACCGCCCGAGAACATGTCGCCCGAACTGCTCAGAGCGCTTCTGCCGATGCTAGTTAACGGGACGAAAGAGAAGAATGGATACGTCAAAGCGAATAGCGAACTCGCGCTTATCGCGGTGCTTCGGCTGAGGCAGGGCGAAGAAGAGCATCAGGTCGGTTTATTTTCCGATTTATTTTATATTTTTAAAGTCATTTATGTAAGATAATTATTTCTCTTATAATTTTTTTTTTCTGACAATTCGTTGTTCTCTTTTAGCGTTGCATGGCTTTCTTGGACGCTGGTGCGAGAGAGTCTCTATCCGATGTGGTCAGCAAAGTGTTGCGTAAAGTTCTCTCCCAGCCGGAGGGCAAAATAGAGGAATTAGACGATACGCTACTCACGTGAGAGACATTGTACTTCCCGGGGCTGATTACGCACTATACCCGTTTCAGTAACCGTATTATCCGCCATTACTCGCCCGACCCTTATAAGAAAGAGATTTATCGTTCGTGTATCAATTACATTATGGACAAACTAGCTCATTCAATCTTGTATCTCGGTAAGCAATTAAAATGCGTCAAGCGCAACAGTCGCTCGATGGCATTCAAGTTACTTAAACTAAAATATCCTGAGTGTCAAGCGATTCGAACTAGGATTGTACATACTTTTACGAGAGATGTTTTTTATGATTATTCATATATTATTCGTATGTCGACAGTCTGACGTCTAACGACTCGAACGTCGATAATTGCGCCCCGATTCGCACGAGTGTCTTCACACCTGAGAGATCGGAGGTGACAGTCGGTATCCGTTATCGGCGTTCGTCTTGTTGGAGATATAAGACTTATTATTTAAGCCGTTGCTTTGTTTACAAACGCATCAAACAAATTGCGTTACGGACTCTTTGCGCTCCCATACTACGCATATTATACTGCATCAGGAAAGCGGTTCTTCTCACTCGTCGTGAAGAAAGAGTATTCGATGAAAGAATTTACAAATAAAAATTTCGAATTTTAAATTCGAAAATCGAGAAAAACAATTTAATTATTCGCGTAATATAAGCAACGTGGCGGCAGGCTGTATAGAAACTATTTGCTTATTTCTAACAGATTTGTCCGTTTTGCTTGCACTTTCTATGTATTTTTGCACCAAGTATGTGAATGGTGGGAAAAAATCGCGACATCGTGGATAAAAATCGTCATGTGAATTTTATTTACGCGATGTGGCAATCTTTTTCGTCTACACATTAAATTGCGTTGTAGGGAATCACGCGAGAAGTACTCTCTGAAAAATTTATAGTTTTCCGCACTTTGTCGTTCCAGCTATTTATTCCAAGTAATTAAATGAATTATATTCCGAGAAAGCACGTTCACTTATACTGAGTACCTGAGAAAAGTGCAAGCGAAACGTACAGATTCCTCGAGAGAACATTGACAATGAATTGTTTACTATTGCAATATTGTTTTGTAGTTATATGTGTGTAATGACGTAGATTATATTCCAGAAAATATAAGGTATAAATGTTGCCAGCAGATCTCGAATATGAGCAAACTTTGATGACACGGATATGTCCGAGATTGCTCGGTGAATTTGATCAAATTGGGGATCTGCCTATAAAGAGAATATTAAGTCGGTTCAAGTTGCTCCGGGATGCCGCGATACTTCTGGCTCGATTTATTCAAATTTCTTTACTTTTTTAGGCGTTACGCTCCACATCAAATCTCGCATCTGTCGATTTCCGCAATACGCAACTCGCTCGCATCCACGCTGCGTTCCATCGCGTTCACGCGGTTGTAACAGTTTTTTCAAATGTGCGTTGGATAATCGCAGGATTTTGTACTTTTATATAATTTCTAACAACCAATCGAAGTGTTTTTGCTTGCATGACGCAATTATGGATAATTGTTCTTTTCTCACAAAGATAAAACTGAGGATTTCTTCTCAGCGCTGCAATATCAGCGCTGAATATCAGCGCTCCTTTGTGACAAACACGTTGAAACGCAGGAAAAATGAATCAGAAGCAACAATATGCATCAAAAGTAATACTTGACTAAACGTTACTAATGAAGTATTGAGTTTTGTATTTTACTTTTTTTCCGTGCTTTGAGGAATTTCTATAAATATATCGGATTGATTTTCTTCATTCATCAAATAAAATTAAATTATGAACAAGATGTACTAATCAGATTTTTGCTTTCAAGGTTTTCAGTACAAGTAATTTTAATCTTAATAACAAATTCTTAATTCTGAGTTTAGCAGCCGCTTTTTCTTAAACGAATATTGTTTAAGAAAGGTAAATTATTGTAATTTTCTAAATTTTTATATTATATATTAATTTAATTAAAAGACTCGAATCAGTGTCTCAAGCCTTAATTTGCATTTATAAATTCCACGCAATGAAATATTTTATTGAAGCGTTATAAGCAAACTAGCGATGCCGAGGAAAAAGCAGTAAAATGTCGGATCGGAAATACGTAATAGAAAAGTGTCAAACAGGACGATGGCAAGCGGTGGCAAGCGGTGGCAAGCGGTGGCAAGCGGTGACTAGCGGTGACTTCCTATCGATGCGCTAAAGTTTTTCTTTTTGTTTTTCATTAATGTTAACGGACCTATTATATAATTTTTATTTATCACATTTTAAATATAATTTTATATTCATCAGTTATGTATGCCATGATTATATGTGATATAAATAGAATGATGCCCTGACGTTTATGAATTTTATTTCAGCCTCTTGATAAAAATACCATGATGTTTTGCGAAAGGACAATGTACGCGGACGATATATGTAACAATCTTCAAACGCGAATTTGCAAAACTCGCAAGATTTTACGCTTTTTTTAAATTTTGAAGTTAAATGTACGAAAAGTAGCAATTTGTTGCTCGTGAAAAATTCATGAATTTTACTTTGATGTTTTGTTATTTGTTTTTTTTTCAGGAATATTTATTAATTTCACATGATTTATACATAAATTATATTATCATGAAAATGTCAGTGGAAACATAACGTAGTTTACGTGATGTTTAAACTAACTTTTTAATGATAATATGTATAAATCATATAGTAATCATAAAAAATTAATAATTATACATTTCTCAAAAAAATTAAAAAACCACTTAATTTTTTAATCTTATTAAAAAAAAATACAATTTTTAAATAGCTATTATTTTATAACAAAGTCATATCGGCTTTCTAAGAAAAGTAATTTAAAGCTCCGAATCTTTAATTCTAAATGCATTTTACAAAATTTAATTTTTTTTTTTTTTAAATTGTCTTTTCAACAAAAGTCAAGTAATTCTTTAATTTTTGAGAAGTGTATTTTGTTTTATTTAAAGTTTTTAATGATTTATATTGCAAGATATTTTTTTCAAATATAATTTTATATTTATTAATATACGTATTTCTTTTTTTAAATAATATAGAACTTTAAATGTTTTGATCACATGTTGAACACTTGTACTGTTGCTGTGGCAATACTATCAACGACTAATCTCGTTATGTTACTTTAAAAAAGTTAAACGATATGCATTAACGATGAATTCTCGCTTATCTGCAAAAAGTGGAGCACATATGCGCGATATGCTAAAAATTGCACGATAAAACGGGAATTCCTTTGAAATGGCGGATCGACAATCGCGCGCGTCGTTGATGGAAGTGCATCCCGTAGTGTCGAAACATCGTTCGACAGCGAATCTTGTGGCAGCCCATTGCAATCATTTGCTATAAAAAGAAAAAAAAACACGCAAAGATACAGAGACAAAGCGCACAGCTGCACGAACGGTTATGCAGTTCCGTCGGCCGACGCTGTTGCACTTCAAAGCACGCCGTCGCCCACGCGCGAAAATGTCGCTTTACTACGTCCGGAAGCGGCACTTTATGTTCCCTGCGTGATCGCGAAGGAATTAGTGTCCCTTTCTCGGCTTCCGGAGGCTAACTCACGGTCGCGAGAGTTCAATCTTTGTTCGCCCAATCGTAATAAAAAAAATGCATTTGTGATTCTTATCAGTGATTCTTATTTTTGAATCAAAAATATTGAAATCATATTTTTTAATTAATTTGACTTACATATTGCTTTAAAATAAGTTTAATTGAATTTCCAGATATGTAATAAATTCACTTTTGACTTTACGTGTCTTTCTCATAAGTGGATGGTTTCATCAGCAGCTTGGAAGAACGACAGGAAACATCGTTCACAAGTGTTTATTGTCAATTGTTTACAGGACAGATAACCCTCTTGGGTTAAACAAATACTGTCTTTCCGCCAGCTGAATTTTCAATAATACGTTCGTACTTTCTTTTTTACACCGAAAGCCGCTGTGTGTATTCTCTAGCGAAATAAAAAAAGATTAGCGTTGCCTCATTAGCGCTTTTTTATCACATGAAACACATGTTGGAAAATTTTTTTCCAATACGATTAGATATATATATATATATCTAAATAACCTGATGGGACGGTGCAATGCGTCATAAGACGATAGTAAACACTTGACAGTCTCATTATACGTTGCCGCCCTGCCTGCCCGTTGTACCGAACTTGTAAGTTGCTATCTGTTTTCAATTATAACTCGAAAATTAAGCTTCGGACAAAATTTTGTAAAAGGAAAAATCGTCTCAGAATTCGCTCAAGAATATGGCATTGCAAGGACATCAGGTTATTTTGAATCACCCTGTATATCTAATGGGTGTTTGATAAGCCAGTGACTTTGAAATAAAAGAATTTTTTTTACCAAAATTTGATTTATTTTTCAACATAGTCTCCTTTTAGCTGGATACATTTTGCCCAATGATTTTCCAACTTCTTTAAGCCTTCCAAAAAGTACGATTTCTCGAATTCTGCAAAATAAGCATCTATTTCAGTGATGACCTCCTCGTTCGATGCGAATCTTTTTCCACCGAGCCATTTCTTCATGTTTGGAAACAGAAAGAAGTCGCAGGGAGCCAAATCTGGAGAATAAGGTGGATGAGGAAGCAGTTCGTATCGCAATTCAACCAATTTGGCCGTTGCAATTGCAGACGAGTGAGCCGGTGCATTGTCGTGGTGGAACAGCAAACGCGGCACCCATCTTGCCGATAGCTTTTTCATATTCAAATATTCGTGCAGGATATTAAATACACGTTCGTCTGAGATGTTTACCATCTTGGCTATCTCGCGTATCTTCATTCGGCGGTCGTTCAATATGATATCATGGACTTTATTGAACATCTCTTCAGTTGTGATCTCATTCGCACGTCCTGGGCGCTCAGCATTATTCGTGCTCGTACGACCGCAACGAAATTCAGTAAACCACTTGTGAATCATTCCATGCGACGGAGCAGAGTCCCCATAATACTTTTTAGCTTTTCTTCAGTTTCTTTAATGGTTTTTCCACGCAAAAAATAGTGCTTTATCAACACACGAAATTCACTTTTTTCCATTGCAGCAAAAAAACACAAACTTATCTGCTTTCAAACTCTGTTAAAAATTTACTATTTGACAGATCTACTTGAAACTTTGTGTGTATACCTACAACTAGTGACAAATGTTAAAATTAATATCAAACTTGCGATCTGAGCATCATCTCTTATCAAAGTCACTGACTTATCAAACACCCCTCGTATGTATAATCCAATATATGTCATTTTTTATTTAACAAATAGAAATAAGAAATGACATATATTGGATCATACATAGTACATAGAACTATACATAATATCTAATCGTATTGGATCGTATAATTTGTAACAATCGCAAAAGGTTCAATAGAAAATCTGCTGGATATCTCAATCAATATTCCCAGATAGCACAGCTATTATTGGTTATTTTGTACTCTCTAAATTTCTTAGAGTAATAACGCACTCGAAAAATTAAGTGACTGGTCGTGTCACTCGAGTTAGAGTGACTTTTCATTTATACGGAGTTAATTCTCTCTCTTTTTGTTGTAGAGTGAATTTTTTCACTCTGCAACACGTGTACTTTATTTTGTAGAGTGAATATTTTCACTCTATGCAGTGTGGAGTGAATATTTCATTCACATGAAGAGTGAATGAAATGCGCGTAATTTTAAAACAAACGCTTTGCCGATGCCTTCATCCTATTCAACAGATCCATCTCTGTTTTTTTTATTGATTTAATAATAATTAATAATTTATGACAGTGCTCGGAATTAGTTGAACATTTCAGCCGAGTTCCGCGATATACGCCTCCTTTCCTTTCTTTACCGCGCGCGCCGCAGCCGCTAGGGCCAGCGCCGCCAAGCGTTAGGAGCAACACTATCTGATTATGGGCTTGTTCGTTTTAGCTGCACTGGGGCAGCTCTGGGTCTGCTCTAAACAAGATAATACAGGACAAACTATTTATCTGTTCTGTATTATCCTGTGTAGAGCAGACCCAGAGCAGCCCCAGTGTAGCTAAAACGAACAAGCCCTATGAGTAGATCCTTCTTCCTATTTATTTAAATTTTAAAAAATTTATTAAAATTTATTAAAAATAAATATATAATAAATAAATTTTGATAAAGGAGACTTAATCAGCTTTCACACTAAGGTAACATCCCACACAGTACAAAACATTCTATGACATCTTACCTGCAAGGGGTTACCTGAAGCCATCTCTGAGGTAACCTCAGGACGTTGAGATATCTCTAAGATGTCATAGAATGTTTTGTGCTGTGTGGGATGCTACATGCGACGTGTAGCGAGTAATACATTACTCTACGTTACGGGTTAACTTTACACGTGTACTAAGTACACGTTACTATAATACATTACTCTACGTTAGAGTTAAACAATCACTTTTGTGAAAAGTAAATTTTTACTATTTACGAGTGGCAGTATTTTCACTATCGCTTAAAGTGAATATCCACTCGCTTGGAATGAAATTTCAGTTCTAAGAAATTTAGGGAGTCATATTCTATTTTTAGTGGTAGATAGAAAAAAATATCAGTGTCTTATGCTTCACTGATATCTTACGTACTCTTACGTGAAACGGTAGACATTAAATAATTGAAGAGTATAATATATTGCAATAGAACAGGCGCAGCGGAAGTATTTTTCATCTGAGGCAAAATTTATAAAGAGGATACATAATACATTCATAATATGTTGTATATGCGCGACCTGTATAGTGCTACCTTAGTTCTAAAGTAGACTTATAGGTAGCTGATATTAAATTCTGTTACATATATTCTACAGTAGATATATAGGTAACGCCATATAAATAGTGCTATGTTCGTTATAAATTAGGCTTATATGTAACTGGTATTAAATACAGCTACATTCACCTTTGTCATATGTGATAGGTTGTATATAATATTACTTGGGAGCTGTGACGGACATACAGTGGAGGATTGTGATAATCTCGTGTAACAAGTTTTTAGCTTGATATTTATACGATGGAGTGCTATGTAGGATGTGTTAAAGAATTTCTTTATCAAATTACTTGGGACACCCTAGCTACCCAGAGACATTAAGCAAGAAACAATTCCTAAAATGCTGTTTTAAATGCTTTATTTAGGTGCCTTATTTAGGTAAATATTATAGGTTTCATTTTGCGTCCACGATTTCAGAGCGGAAGATAGTAATATATGCTGAAATATGTATAATTTTTCACTTTTTGTGCTATATCTACGAAACTATGGAGAAATTTGTAAAAGTCGTAGAATACTTTTATTTTCTCTATTTTCAGACAAATAATATGACACCAATTATTTACCTGATAAACAATGGATATT